TCCCTGATATAATTAACTATCAGACACATACAAATCCTATTAGGGATGCTGTGGGTGAAAAAATATCTGACTTGACTTCATTAAATTCAGGCACAGACTATGTCAAACTAAGGAGCTTTAGGAATTGTCTATTAATAATAACCAGTGTTCTGAAATAAGCCAATTTCTGCAATTTACTAGAGCTGTAGCTATGATGTAGTCTTCTTATAAAGAGATGTTTGCTTATCTATCAAAGTTGGGAGAATCACTACGATGCATACTGGTTAGTTGGTATTTCAGTAGAAGAAAAAAGTTGTGTTATGTAGCAAGTTCCATTGCTACCAACTCGGTAGGAAGGAGACATCTGTCAAACATGGCTTTGTGATAAAATAGATAAGACATGCATTCACTATTTGAAACTGGTTAGAAGAACTTTGAGTCAGTAGGCATAAACTATGTGATAACCTGGATATTCCCTCAGGCATAAGATCTGAAGATTGAATGAGTCCATCTTTGTTATTTTCTCTGACATCATTGTAGTTATGTGGTCTGAATTTGATTCCCTTCACATGCCACTGTGCTATTATTATGTTGCAGAATCCAGTCTGGGTTGGTCACCAGGACCAGAGTTTTAATCTTCCTAACTTTCGGATTCATGCTGAAACCCATTCTGAGGGAACTTCTCTCTACCAGAATGTTCTGAAATGTTCCAGTAGAGGGAAATTTCCTGAGGATGGGCTCCAGCATGAGTTCAAAAGCTAGGAAGACCAACCCAGATTGGATCCTGCAACAATATTCTGGGAGTTGTACATTTATCTATTGCAATGGTTCTCAACCTGTGGGTCGGGACCCCATTTGGGGTCGAACGACCATTTCACGGGGGTCGCCAAACAAGACTGTCCGCCATTTTTTCCCCCTTTTCTTTGGCCACGCCCCTGGCACCTGGTGATATATAAGTGGTTGGGGGTCACCACAACATGGGGAACTGTATTATGGGGTCGCGGCATTAGAAAGGTTGAGAACCACTGATCTATTGGCTTCTGCTTCTATTGGCTTCTGCTTCTAACCTGGTTCCTTAACCACTACAGCCAACTGACTCTTCCTTTCCTGCTTATTCCTACATAAACAAGAATCATATTGCTTTGTAGATAATTTAAAACCTTTTTCCTTAATGAGTCTAGAAATGCATTTGGGTTAACAAATGACAACATGTACAGCATATTGATATACGACATGTCTATCAGACACAGGTCTTATTTGAAGGTAACATTAGTTGCAAGCTTTGACATAACACTCTTTGCTTTCTGAAGTTATTCAGTACAGGCACCTCTTAAATCAATTAATTTTGTTATGAGATTTTTTAATTATTATTGCTATAGGTAGATATTTATAAAGTAGTTTCTCTCATCCCCTTCATACGTCTGGAATGTTTAGGCAGTTGTTTCCAGCCATTTTAATAGAACTGAGACAGAAATTTGTAAGCCAAACAGAATTGTTGGATACGAGCTGGGCAGCAAATAAATGTAATAAACAAACAAACAAATAAATTCTAAGATTATTATTATTATTATTTATTGAGTTTATTTGCAGCCATCTCACCATGAGATGACTCTGGGTGGTTACAGTGTTAAAGATTTTATCTCCTATTTCTGCCTACTACTCTGTTATTCTAATAAGAATGTTAGGACTACACAGAGTGGTAGATTTTGATATTGCTACACATAATAACACAAATGTATGTATGTACTGTATGTCTTAGGTTGTTTTCATTAACTGGGCTTGGAAGTTAGGTTGCAGCTCTCTAGGGGCTCCTGGACAGCGACCCAAAAATGCTGACAGGGCAATTATTATTGACACGTGAAATTACTTTCTTTCTTCTCCAGCGCTAATTAATACCGCCTTCTGACTTTTGTGCTCCATAATTGGCTTTGTACATTTGCATTATGCAGACCCTTTTGATCAATGGAGATATAAAAATGTGAAGCGGTCTAGAGGTTAAACGTGTTCCTCTTGCCCTGCCTCAAATGAATGGTCTTGAACTCTTGTTGTACATGCGATGATGTGGCTGTAATGGAGAATCAACATCAGTGAAGGATGTTTGCCTTCTTGATACAACTTACAAGGTAATGGGTAGAAAGGTGAAAGTGTGTATGTGTGTTCATTGGAGCTGGCTATAGCAAGGCAGCCTGTGTTGGACTGCATTAATCTCTTTCCCTGTGTGCAGTTGTGCTCTCACTTTCTGTCCCTCACTTCATCATAAAAGTCCTGTGGTAAATTATTATAGACTTAAAAGGGTGCAAAAATCTGGATCTGATTAGGACTACTTGAAATAGGCAATCTGAAGCTTCCCCAACATTATAGCTAAACTACAATAGCTAATATACTGATATTAGTTTGGGCAGCTGTGACATCTTCATTAAATTAAACATGGCTTATTTTCTTATTGTGGTATAACCTTCATTATTAGTAGAATAGAAATGGAATGAAATAGAATAGAATAGAATAGAATAGGGAATAGAATAGAATAGAATAGAATAGAATAGAATAGAATAGAATAGAATAGAATAGAATAGAATAATAGGGAATGGAGTGGAATGGAATGGGGAATGGAAGAATAGAATAGAATAAAGAATAGAATAGAATAGGGAATGGAATGGAATGGAATGGGGAATGGAAGAATAAAATAGAATAAGGAATAGAATAGAATAGAATAGAATAGAATAGAATAGAATAGAATAGAATAGAATAGAATAGAATAGAATAGAATAGAATAGAATAGAATAGAGCTGGAAGGTCACGATTTTAAAGTAAGCTCAAGTATCCAATAGAAGAGAAATGAACCAGTAAGCAGCTCAGAAATTTTATTTTTACATGTAAATTTGACAGCCTTGTGTGTTTAATTAAAGTAAACATAATTGGGAAAACTGCTCTATATAGATTTTAGGGATCTTAAAATAGTTTTGCAGTAAAACTTGAACATCTGTTTAAATATTTTTTTGGCATTGTGTATACCGAACACATTTCATTTCTTAGTACATGTGTAAACACACCCCATAATTTCCAGCAGGTTATATACTGAAACGTAGCATGTGTTAATACTCTGAATGCAAAATGTGGAGTTAGACCAGAGTTCTAGGGCTTCAGATTCTCCTGCCAGATTAGAAGAAAAGTTACAGTGGGGAAATTTACTACTGAGAATAACCTTTCTCCTCCATATGTTATTCTTCTCAACTGAAACAAATAAAATCTTAGGTTGGTGGCATTCAAATGGTGGTATGCAGAGGGGTTAAGAAGTATATTGAGAAGGTCTTTGGAGTCAAAGCATCTCCTAAACAAATGAAATAGCTTCATGATTGTTTATTATTTGTAATGGTAGGGGATTCAAGAGTTGCTTTAAGATTGAAAAGTAAGAGAGAGACACGATTAGATGCCTCTCGATTGGCAAGAATCGAGACATTTTGACGTTTCAAAGACTGAGTACCTCAAGAAATGGGCTTTCTAATCATATATAAGAATTGATATCAGTTAACTTTTCTGAGTATAGGTGCCTTTTTGAGTCCTTTTCTTCAGTGGTGATTCAAATATACTAGTTTTAATGTTTGGGAAGAAATAAATCTATAATACATCTAGAATTAATATTTTAGAGATACCCAAATTAATGTCTACTGTCTTTATCGGTAAGAAAAGGGACAATTAAAGTGCTGATATTTGTTGTCTGGTGTTTATTTTAACATTAGTTGTGTAGTGGTGATAATTCTAGACCAATCTTCATTATATAAGTTTATGTAATGGATGCATGGTTATCTTGAGGAACAGGTGGAGGAGATGCTGCTTATGAAATAATCAAACAAGAGAGGGTGGTTAATGGTCAAAGAAAGAAATTGAGAAAGGGCCTCTCCTAACAGGTGTAGCAGTTAAAAGTGGCTGGTGGGAAGTTTGTAGTCTCAAACTTGCAAGATTCTATTAATGTAACTGTCATGGTTCCGAAAGAAGAAGCTCTTCAAAGAACTTTGGGGCATTGTTTTCCTTAAACAATCTTTAACAGCAACATAGCTTCTGCACGTACATAGAAGAAGCCAAAATCTGAATTCTCCTCCCCCAAACACACAGTATCTAAGCATAACTCACTCCTTCATTTAACAGTCATTAATCACATTCTCCAATTAGTTTGAAGTGCACTTTCCCTCCTGTTCCATAACCGCCATTACTTATCACCTCTTATAACCAACCTGGAAGAATACTCTACTGAGATATTGTTATGGCTAACTAGTCCCCAAGCACATTCTTCCCACTCCCCTCCAGCACCATCTAATTTTAACTCTAAAAGTAATACACAGGTTAAATAGAAAATATCTGCATCTTCATATATTGTCAAGCAAGAACGTCCGATGTTGGCGGCATTGACAGAAATCTTACAATAAAGTAGATTTAGCTCATCTGATTTTGTTTCCTGTCTCATTTACCAGGGAAGGCTTTCTCTCTCTGCATACATGTATATAATGTATTTTTTTTTAAAAAAAAATAATGTGCCCATTCTCTTCTCCTACATACAAAATGTAATAGAACACGTTAATAGAATATAGAACACACATCGAATTTAAGGCACCCATTTTAACCGTGTAGCTCTGTAAGGGATTTGAAACCAAGGATTTAAGGCTTTTTTTTTTAAAGTATCTTCTTAAAACCAAATTCCCATGAGAATTATGACTGTCATTAGAATTACATGGTTAAATTGATTCAGTCCTAACTTTGATCTCAGCTAAAGTTGGGTGAGAGGATAAGTCTGTAAGAAAATGAAGGGATGGGAACTATACAATCCTATAACTTAATCATGAGCCTGGTTAAGTAAGTAATTATATCTGCCGAGTTATGTAGTTTTAAGTTCATTGGGCACGTAGAGAACTTACTAAGAAGTAAAGCCTGGCAATAAAGCAGCTTGCCTGCTTTTCTTCGATTACATGCACCAACTAACTCTTGTTTCCCAAAATAATTTTATCACTTGATTTTCTTTTCTCATTAAGGGTGGCCTGAAAAACAGTAAACACGAGTGCACATTGTCGTCGCAGGAATATGTCCACGAACTACGATCAGGTATCTCAGAAGAAAAACTTCTCAACTGCTTAGAATCTCTGCGGGTGTCTCTGACAAGCAATCCAGTAAGGTAAGTTTGGGGAATTGTTATTCATAAGTGTCGCAAAGTAGGAGTCTGTAAAATATTGTACGCCGTGTTGAAATAAAATGTAGAATTTACACCAACCACATCAAAAAGCCACATATTCAGTGGGCGTTGGGTTTTTTGGGTGGGGGGCTGTCTATTATCTTATTTACTTACTTAGTTCTCTGCCGAGTAGTAGGTCTTTAAAACGAGGTAGTGACTTGTTAAAAGTAATTGCTCCAAAATAATAGTCTTATGGATTTATATCTTCATACACTGTATAAAGTCACTTTCATTGAAAGAGTATTGGAAGGATAGACTCTTTATTTTCTTAGCTTCAGATTTTAAGGGATTGATCCTGTTATTTACCTCTGGTTAAATGAGGCACAGGGCTGAATATTAAAGCTGTTGATGGGTAAGCTGTGAATACTTCTATATGCACCAACATATGGCCGGTGTGCTAATATTATGCCTTGTTGCATTCCGAACCTGTCCTCAAGCTGTCTTTAACTTTGTAATTGGAATACATTAAACTGGGCCTGACAGTTTGCATCACTTGATATGCAAGGAATTTTGGCAAGTCTGCTTTACAGAAATGCAACACTTGTCTTCACAGGAAGTTGAAAAGTAACTCCTGTTAGAATTTCCCATAGATTATCCACGAAATGAAAGTAAGGGTGATTGAAAATGTAAGAAGCCTCCGAAGGATAACCAACCTCTGTGAATCTATTGATGTTGTTTGTTTTGTCCTCCCCATATCCAACCCATACTAAGTGGAATTCCATCCCAGTTGGATTTTCCTATGTATTTATCCAGCAAACAAAAAAATATGAATTGGATTCTGGACTAAATTAGTTACTCTTAGTTAAGTGCTGCATCTCATTCAAGTCCTATTGTATCTGGGTAACTAATTTATTGTCAATCCAACCTGGTGCAAATAGACAGATGGACAGATGGATGGATATGGAAATAGATAGATAAATGATGGATGGATGGATGGATAGATAGATATAGAGATAGATAAATAGATAGATAAATGATAGATGGATGGATGGATGGATAGATAGATATGGAGATAGATAGATAGATAGATAGATAGATATGGAGATAGCTAGCTAGCTAGCTAGATCAAACACTTATCACTCAGACTTATATACTGCTTCATAGTGCTCTACAGCCCTCTCTAAGCAGTTTACAGAGTTAGCATGTTGCCACCAACAATCTGGGTCCTCATTTTATTGACCTTGGAAGGATGGAAGGCTTGAGTCGGTCATGATCCTTGAGCCTCTCAGGATTGAACTGCTGGTAGTCGGCAGAATTAGTCTGCAATACTGCATTCTAACCACTGTAGCACCATGGGTCTCATAGATAGATAGATAGATAGATAGATAGATAGATAGATAGATAGATAGATACATAGATAGATAGATAGATAGATAGATAGATAGATAGATAGATAGATAGATAGATAGATAGATAGATAGACAGACAGACAGAGAGGCAGAGAGGCAGACAGATAGAAGGATAATATTTGTTTCCATGTGATTTGTCAGTATTTTTTTTGGGGGGAGGTAGTTGAATAAGGAAATATTGTATGACTACATTGCCTAGCAATAATTTATACATGGAAAATAGCATAGTTCTACTTACACTTGTATGATCAATGCGTTGCTGTAAAAATACAGAAGGACATTGTTATTCTGAAAATTCCTGCTTATTTTCAGCAAACAAAGAAACTATGTAACTCAGCACTAGGGACACGGGTTTGAAATATGCAGGAAGAGACTAGGAAATAAACTCAGATTTTGAGAATAGCATTGTGTATTCCCATAACATTCTTGTTTCCAATTCTCATTTAGTAGTTTTTTTCTTGAAAAGTTCAGGAGGTCCTGCATAATAGATTTTTTTTTTAAAAAAAAAACACATTTGACTTTTTGGAGAAAAATCTATACACAAACAAAAATAGAAAACAGATGAAGATTTATGCAAATAAAGCACAAATGAAGAAAAACTGTATCTAAAAATATAGAAATTATACAAGGGAATAGTTTTCTGGTATCTCATTAGTAAATTATGAATGACTGAATATATTGTATTACTTTCAGGAGCTAAAGTCATTATCAACATAATGGAATGGGATAGAATATCTTCTGCCTTGACTAACTGCCCAGAATCATGGAAAATTGGGTGACTTATAAATTTAATAAATAACTACAACTTAGTGATCTTAAGAACAGGACAACTTTGTGGTTGTGACGTGGCTGTTATGAAAGTCAAACCACACTTTTTGTGGCCATTGGAAATGGCATTAACTGCCAATTACTAATGTGTAGGTCATTTGTATTTTCATTGCCATTTCTTCTCTTTGTCACCTTATGTTTTGGAAGAAATAACACTGATTTCTTGATATTAAACAGGAATAAAAGGATGGTGCTTCCCATTTTGTCCAAAACTTTAAGGAGAATATTATAGTAAAACCAAAATTCAAATTTTACTGTGGTACCTTAACCCCTGGCAACCGAAGAACTGCTTAAAATAATAAACCATGTGAAAATATACATAGATGGATGAAAAATAAGTTCATTTCCCAGAGCTTTTAAAAGTAGGCTCTATCCAGAGACATTAAGTAAATTATGCAATAAATCTTAATGTATCTGAAATAACTCACCAAGGTTACCTCTGTAATCACTCGTTGCCATGCTTGGTAGTATTGTACATGCCCCAGCAGAAAGAAACTAATAATTTTCACTTTTGACCCGCTTCATTTACAAACAGGAATCCTTGCTCTGGGGTTATATCACCTGACATTCATTGCCATTTATTGTTTGTTTGAAAAATACATTATTTTTCCTCACTGGACCTTACCATATACAATATTCATCCTACTTGAACAGTATAAAGTCTGCTTCTAAGAATCCTTTTCTTTTGCTGACTGTAGTGAAGGAAATCAACATGTAATATATTTTTTTTAATTTATAAAATGTATTGGCCACCTATCTTACCACAGGTTAATTCTGGGTTGCTTACAGTCATAAAAATATATTTATACATGTACATTAAAACATTAATAAATTAAAATCTAACATTAAAATGACACATGGGGAGGTGGGGGGGGCAAAGTGGAGGGAGTTGAGATCTGTTACTCGATCAACCACCGCATAATTTTGAGTAAGCTTGACTTTGAGATGCAGCTTCCAAAATAAAAGCAGAGAAAGGTGATTTGAGTCCTTGGAGACTTATTTTGTTTTGAGAGATTCTCAAAGTTGTTTGAATTGTTGAGTGCAAGACACCAACTCCATCAACTGTTTCATAGTTGCCCTTTGCCTGTTAATTGCTGTAGCATTTTTCTCACCAATGAGTGTTATCTCTGTTTTGCAAGGCTATATTCAACTTTCCGCATATTTTCCCTTTTAGTTGTCATTTTTCTTTTACTCTTCATTGTCCTTTTTTGTTAAAGGGCGATGCTTCAGCTTATCTATTTCTTTGCTGCTCTCAATTGCTTCTGTAGTTCTGTCTTTGTTCAGCTGACTTTGAAATTTCCTTTTAACGTACAGCTGAATTTGGTATTGTTGGATTCTGTCAGAAAAATATGTCTGTAAATGTTTTAATATTTTCATTTACTCTGTATAAATCTCACTTCTCGTTCCATCACTACCCTGAGTGATGTGTGTTCATAATCTTCTCTTTTAAATATTTTCCTTCCTTCCTTCCTTCCTTCCTTCCTTCCTTCCTTCCTTCCTTCCTTCCTTCCTTCCTTCCTTCCTTCCTTCCTTCCTTCCTTCCTTCCTTCTTTCCTTCTCCCTTCCCCTCCCCTTCCCTCCCTAGAATTGAGGATTTCCTTTATTTTTCTAAATTAAATTACTTTGATCCATTTTTAGAACTTAACACTATATTTTGAAGGGCTTCCAACTTCAGAAAATGGGGCCACCAGTCTTTCATCATGGGTGTAAAATCTGGCAAAACCACAAGGCTTGATATTCTGTAGGAGAAATGCTCCAGAATTACATCATCACTGCAGATTTAACTTCCAGAGCTACACAAGGCAGAATCCTTCAACTGTCATAGAAAACTGAGGACGGTTTGTGTGGATCATTACTAATTATATGAATTTCTCGGAGTCCCTTCATTGTCCTAGGCTCATTGTGTTATTTTGTAGACCAGTGGTTCTCAACCTGTGGGTCGGGACCCCACTTGGGGTCGAACGACCATTTCACGGGGGTCGCCAAACAAGGCTGTCTGCCATTTTTTCCCCCTTTTCTTTGACCACGCCCCTGGCACCCAGTGATGTATAAGTGGTTGGGGTCACCATAACATGGGGAACTGTATCTGGGGTCGCGGCATTAGAAAGGTTGAGAACCACTGTTGTAGACGTTTTGATTCTGACTCCTCTTTGGTCTCTTCAGAATGCATGTTCTGAAGTGCTTCTCAACTGGTAATCAGTTTTAACCTTGATGGATCTGCAGAGACATCTAGTGACGAGTTTTGCATGCATGCCAAAAGTAAACTAATAAACAACTGCAAATGTGAACGTACATAGAGAAACCCAAGGGCTCAAATGTTCGGGTGTTCTTGATTTAATTGCTGCTTCTTGATGTTCCTCCTGTCAATGTCCAAACTCTTTGAGCTTTTTCAAGAAAGGTGGGGAGGGGATGGCTGTCATACATTTTTGAAGCACAAACCTTATTTAGGGTTTAGTGGATATCTAAGGTTTCAGAAAGATTAAACCATTAACAGGATGTTACGGATTTTGACACATTTCATGCTCTACTCATTTATCTTCCATTCAAGAACTAAACTTTAGATGCTGACTTACAAGTTATTTGAAAGAATCAAACACAGCATTGTAATTGTGGTGCTGTTGTAAATGTCTTTGCTTATTTTAATTATTTGTATCTGTGTGGCAGTTCATCTGTGTGGAAAATTGGAAGAACTTGAGGATGAAGTTTATAAATGTCAAAATAATACTTTCTGGGAATAGAGAAAAAACGCCAAATTAGAATAAAGTTAATTATTGTAAGGCTGACGTTTTAAATTTCTTTCAAAGGTGGAGTTGCCTGCAGAGGCATACTTTAGAAACCATGTGAACCATGACTCCATACACTGACTGGAGGTTCATTTGACTGGTCCTGCCCTCAGCCTCCTGACGCTGGCTAGACTGGCCTCTCCTTCATCTGTTGAAGATAGGTAGACTAGTTCTAACCTAGCCTTCAGAGGGCAGTCAGCTACAGTCAAACTGGCAGGAAGGACAAGGGGGGACATGATAGCAGTGTTCCAATATCTAAGGGGCTACCACAAAGAAGATGAGGTCAACTATTCTCCAAGGCACCTGAAGGCGGAACAAGAAGCAACGGATGGAAATTAATAAAAGAGAAAATCAACCTAGAAAGAAGGAGAAATTTCGTGGCAATGAGAGCAATTAATCAGTGAAATGGCTGGTCTCCAGAAGATGTGGATGCTCCAACACTGGAGGTTTTTGAGAAGCGATTGGACAGCCATTTGTCTGAAATGGTATAGGCCAGGGGTAGGCAATCTTGGCTCTTTTATGACTCGTGGACTTCAACTCCCAGAATTCCTGAGCTTGGCTGGCTCAGGAATTCTGGGAGTTGAAGTCCATGAGTCATAAAAGAGCCAAGGTTGCTTACCCTGGTATAGGCTTTCACGCTTGAAGAAATCCTCTACAAGGGAGTTGGACTTGAAGACCTCCAAGATCCTTTCCAATTCTGTCCTTCTGTTATTCTGCTCTGATTAAAGTTTGGGTTTTCCATTTGTAATGCAAATGCTTGATAAGTGAACGAGGCCTCTTATATTTTGAGTACATATTTCTGTTAACTGTGATTGTGAAGTATGGAGGCTCAACATCTGCTAAACCATGCTGGAAGTCCTATCTGTAACGAATAGTCAGTCATCAGAGTGTTTATGTATATTCAAATTGCACATGGGAGCAAGCATGAATTAATTTGCAATTTACTTTTTTTACAGTTGGGTTAACAATTTTGGACATGAAGGTCTTGGGCTTCTCCTGGATGTCCTTGAAAAACTTCTTGATAAGAGACAGTAAGTATAGAGCGTATAAGACGGGGGAGCAAAAAAAGTTGATTAATGTAGGACCATCAGTTAATTATTATTATTAATTTTCAGGCAAGAAAGTATTGACAAGAAAAATCAGCATAAGCTTATACAGTGCCTCAAAGCGTTTATGAATAATAAGGTAGGAATTTCATCCCCGGCTGATTTTTTTCTTCTTCCTTCAGATAGGTTCACTTTAACTGGTAATGAATGACTGTCTTTAAAGAAAGAGATGACTTTAATGAAATGGAAATTTGATCTACTAATGACGACAGTTTGCCTGTAGTTTAATAGCGCTGCAAAGAATTTGGAATAAGGCAAAACCAGTTCATACGTTATTTCAAGGCTTGAAAACAGCATCAGGTTTACCGAAGTATAAAATATTCCTTTATTTCTGAGAAATGGAGGAGGAAAAAAAAACAAAACACCTCACTTTTTTTTTTAAAGGTCAGCTCCTACAGACTAGGAAGCCAAAGTCATGCAGGCTAATATTAGTTTTATTATAAAGATACAGTAACGGAATCTTGCAATGCCTTCCCCCCTCCTTCATCTTTGTGAAAACTAGGGAAGGTCTCTTCAGAATTTTTTTTTTTCAGGTTACAGCTCTGCCCCAGACTCAGGTTTCTTTTATCTGATTATTGTGCAGGAAGCAGCTGTTCTTCCTGACCCCCAAGGTCCTTCTGCTCATTACAAAGCTTCAAGGATACGGATCCCAAGATAATAGTGTAAAAAAGTAAAACTTGCATGAGTAACCCAACTTTGGATAAATCTCTCCACTCTTCCTGTGAACTTCTGGGGCCAGATTTAGTGCTATCGGAGGCTTTAATTTTAGGAAGAAGGTGTAGAGTAGTATGTGAGGATGTGGGAAATGCGGCAATATCTTGAACTAGTTGAAGTATTCTCAGTGTATTTTTAAAGGGACATTCAGAAAAATAGAGAGAAACCAAAATGGCCTTCTGGTTTTACTTGCATGTTGTTGGTCTATTCCTGGCAAGAAAATTTAATTTTCTAGGGATTTTTTTTTTCATAGAAAGAAAGAGCATTAAGAGGACATGGCAAATTAGACAGGGAAATAACAATCTATATAGCATTCAGGCTATGTTTCCATCATGAAATACAGTTATTTCCCTGTTAAGCATGGACAAAATATACAGTGTAAGAAGCATTTGCTATATTCCAGTAGAGATATCACCTTTTTTTTCCAGTGTATTAAACATGTCCTATACATGGGGATTGCTTTTGCTAGAAATCAGTACTTTTATTTTTAAGTATGTTTCATTGTCCTTCACATGATCAGTTTTGAGAAAAAATGTTCTTTAAAAAGGGGATAATGTAATTTGTTTAGGGATTCTAAGACTTTCTAAGATTGCGTGCGCTGCGATCTCATATCTTTTAAACCATTCCTTCTCCCCCTCCAAGTATGGACTACAAAGAATACTGGGAGATGACCGAAGCCTTCTCTTACTGGCCAGAACAATTGACCCAAAGCAACCAAACATGATGACTGAAACAGTGAAAATACTCTCTGCCATTTGTATTGTGGGAGAAGAAAACATGTAAGTAACAGAACTATTTAATTTATTTATTTAATTAAAGAAATTTATAAACCTATTTTTAGGGCAACCTCTGTAATTATCCATTTAATTTTCCTTTAATATGTTGACTTCCATATGTTTTCTTTTGGCCCTTGACTCCCAAAAAGATTTAAGAGTTCTTTTATGGCTACTCATCTGGAGGATAAACACATCTGCTATCTCCTAGATCAGGGGTAGGCAACCTTGGCTCTTTTATGACTCGTGGACTTCAACTCCCAGAATTCCTGAGCCAGCCATGCTGAGGGGAAACAGAGAGGTTTCCAAGCTGAGCCATGCTGGCTCAGGAATTCTGGGAGTTGAAGTCCACGAGTCATAAAAGAGCCAAGGTTACCTACCCATGTCCTAGATCAAAGAGAGCATGTCAGAGTTGCTAGAGAGCAGCATTTGGATGAACAGGTGGACCTTTTTTAACAACTATTTGTTCAGCAGCCGTTCAAACTTACGACTGTGCTGAATGAGTGGTCCTTGAGACCAGTCCTTTAAAATTCTGGCCATTGCAGCATCCCCTGATTACATGATCAAGACTGGCCACTTTTCATTGCTGGCTTTCCGCAAGCAAATTTAATGGGGAAGCCGGCAGGAGATCAGAAGTCACAATCAAACGATATCCTCGCTTAATGATTCATGTAGTCCTCACTTAATGATGGTAACCAATGGTGGCCAAAACTGCCATCCTTAAGCAGTGCTATCACATGACATCCCACTTTGCAACCGCATCACTTAGTGATAGGAAGTCCACGCCCAATTACTGTTGTCTCTTGTAACAAGGCCTTGCTGGGGCTGTTTTATTTGATTTGAGGTCATTTTTGAGTGCAAGCATAGCTGCAAGGAGGAATATAGGATGGAATCATTTTTGTTCTATGAACTTTTTCAAGTTAGTTACCTAAGGAGCCAACGCTTAAATAATCTGACTTCATTTAAGAATCGCAGCAACAACAGCAGCAACAGCAAACTCAAAGATTTATTCCCTTGATTAGTAGCAGATTGCTTTTTAGGTGCTGGTTTTTAAATCAATTTGCTGCAAAAGAGGGGAAAATGCCTTTAAGAATCTGAGGTGTGATTTTTGAATAGTCTGTTTAAAAAGTACCTGCATATCTTTACAACCCATTGAAATAAATCTCTATTACAGGCTCGACAAAATTTTAGGAGCTATAACAATTGCAGCTGAGAGAAATAACGGAGAACGATTTGCTAACATAGTGGAGGGGCTTGAAAATCACGAAGCTCTGCAATTACAGGTAGGATTTCTTGGATTACAATTTAGAAAATTAGATTAGGCAACAATGCATTTTAATTACTACCTGTATCAAAAATGTTTAAAATGGCTGTGGATAATTTTGGTTCCGGTGACCTTGTGTTGGGTAGAGGTTTCAAATCCCAAATAAATATTCGTCTAAAATCTCTGGAACAAAAGCTTGATAATCTTCTTTTATACTCTGCATAAACACATTTGAAACACCCATTGCTATCCATTGCAGAAATTCACTATTTACTGACTTTATTTTAACCTGTTTACGAATGCATAGGATTATAAAATAAATGCTTCTCTTTTCTCTATGCAGGACAGCATATTTTAGAATATAAATTTTTGGTTCATGGAGACAATCTTTACATACTTTAAAAAATTCGTTTCTGGATTCAGAGTTTTGTGTAGAAGGAAGACCGATAAAGGAACATTTGTAGTTCAGGTTTGAAATGAGGGGTCTTTGCAAATGATGATATTACCTAGTTGGGTAATGAAAGATCTCCAAGGAAACAACCAAGTTCAGAGAGCACCAATGATTACTCATAAGGAAGCCTCATAACCATTTTGGGTGCACTAAAGGCCATGGTTGCCCATGACCTCCTTGCAATTATGAATGGAACGTTACAGTAGGATGTATAAATGGTCAAATTTCTGAATTTTTAGCTAAGACATTTCTCCATCCGAAGATCTCTGGGAGTATAAGACTGAGATAGAACTCTTTGGATGGCTAGTTAGTGTTCAAAGAGCAAGTCTTCTCCCAGACTGTCTCTGAGACAAAGATAAAATCAAAACCTGGAATGAGATAATGATTGAGTTTGTGACTTCTGTCTTGTAAGGTTAACTCCATAAGACAAGAATTATTTCTGTAATCTTGACATTACAGTAGGAAAACCTGCAGTGCTACAAGGAACTGACCGGAAAGATTAGGTTCTCCAAAGGTCAGATTACGATGCAGTGATATCCCTTTTCTCTTCTGAAGGCAACCTCTGGGGTGGACAATGTAATTTTTATTCATGCTTGCCCTGTGAAAAGATCTCCTCCTCTTCGAATAAATACACAAACGGTCTGGGACAATAAATAAAATTAACAGTAAATAAAAATAACAAGAATAGGTAAGAGTAACACATTTGCTTTAACATCTTAAAGCAAAACTCTAAAGGCAATAAAATACTGCACTAAATAACAGCTGAGGCTGGCCATCTAGATTAAGTAAGGGTGTGTTTTTTTTAGAATTTCAACCCTTTTCCATCAGTCAATAATTTGCTATTTTGCTCAACTGAATGTTGATACACCTGTTTTTGATTTTCCCAGCGCTAAACTTGAATTGCTTCCCAGTGGACAAATGTACCACTGTGGTTATTATTTTCGGCTGCTCTCAAGGGTGGAAGGCTTAGCAGAATTGATGCTAATGACTTTTATTTGAATAATAAAATCCTCTTGTCAACGTCAAATATAACCACGTTCTGTTTTAGCGCCTTGGTTTTGAAATGGAACCACTGATAATTTAGGGTGGGGTTCTTTCTGCACATACTGCCTTTAGTGTGGCCTTAAGGGAGAATCTGTTGAGCTAGATCAGTGTTTCTCAACCTTGACAATTTTAAGGCATGTGGACTTCAACTCCCAGAATTCCACAGCCAGCAATGCTGGCTATGGAATTCTGGGAGTTGAAGTCCACATGCCTTAAAATTGTCAAGGTTGAGAAACACTGAGCTAGATAAATAGAAAGATCCAATCTGCTTAGCTGTTACATACAACACAAGAACATTAAAACAGAAGTAAGTGCATTATGCACTCTGCCTATGTGATACGTTCTTGTACAGTGATTCCAAAGTCAATCTCCTTTAAGGACTTTGTGATTTTTACAACTCTCACATCCATACTCCGTGACTGAAGGTACAACTGCAGGACTCATTAACTCGTCTCTGACTGAAATGGTCTCTCTACCAGTATTAATACAAGCAATTAAGCCAGAATTTCTCCTGGCAAAAACAATCACAGCAGATGGCACCTTTTCTCTCTATTAATTTCTGATTGGACATGTACTTTGACTTGTTCAGTTATGTCATCGCTGTAACATAACAAGGATAATTCAGGCCACTAGAATACAGCATTACAGGGATATGTGCATTGAAAGAATTTACCAGCTTGCAGTGTTTTATATATTATATATTAAAATTATATTCACTTTATGGAGGATTGAGTTATAGGTTTCAGTGCAGCAGTGTTGATAGAATAATTTGAGGATATGTATCCATTTTCAAAAGCACATCTTGAGCTGTCTGTAAAAAGGTTAAGGATTAATAATCTGTTCTAAGCATGGCTTGCAGTTAATTTTTTTCCTAGCGTTCACTCTGCTTTTAATTATTGTAAAGGTATTGACAATATGAGGTCTGTCGCTCAAACAACAGCATTCTGCTATAAGGAGTCCTCATTTACTGACTGCAATTAGGATCAGCAAATGGTGCAGTTATTGAGCATAATGTCACAGGACCAAGTCAAATCAAGTAAATTTGTAACAGTCAAAGACCAGAGACCAGAACAAGTGAAAAACACTCAAGGAATAAAAAAATTCTAAAATAAAATAATAAATAAAAGATAAAATCTATATTAAAATCACAATTTGGCATCCAATCTATCAGTTACACCTGAGCAAAACAGAGCATGGCCTAGCTCAGGGGTAGGCAACCTTGGCTCTTTTATGACTCGTGGACTTCAACTCCCAGAATTCCTGAGCCAGCATGGCTGGCTGAGGAATTCTGGGAGTTGAAGTCCACAAGTCATAAAAGGGCCAAGTTTGAAGACCCCTTTTCTAGGTTGCTTCTATCCTTGACTAGCTTCCAGCCATTGCTTCTTGCTCTGCCTTCAGGACAAGGAAAATAGGTTGACTCTCTCTTCTTTGTGGCAGCCTGTTAGATATTGAAACGTTACTATCATGTCCCCTCTAGTCATTCTCTTCATTAGACTAGACATGCCCAGTTCCTGCAACCATTCTCCATATGATTTAGCCTCCAGTTCTCTAATCATTTTTGTTGTTTTTCTCTGCACTCTTTCTAGTTAGTTAAAAATGTACATTTCTTTTATTGTTTTCTCCAGTTTTATTGCACACGTGCACTGGGTGTGCTGACTCTAATAAGCTACATTAACTATAACTTATATTTACAGGTTGCATGCATGCAGTTCATAAACGCCCTTGTCACTTCTCCAGAAGAGCTTGATTTTAGGGTACATTTGAGAAATGAATTCCTGCGCTGCGGGCTAAAGAAAATATTACCAGTAAGTTACTTGCAACAGAAGTGCTAATGTACCGGGTTCTATGATTGCTTGCTTTGTGATGATAAATCTTACAAAAGACTTGCAAGATACAGCTAAGCTTGACTTTAATGGTCCTTTATCATTTTAATCATTGTGAAAGGGAAGCAGAATGCTGTAGCATTAAAAATGTTCAACAGTGAAAAATAATTTTCTTTTTATGACAAATGATTGCTTACACTTACTTTTATTGATGTAGGGAATTTTAAAGTATGTATTGGATAGTTAATAGTGCCATGAACTTATGATAGGGAGAATCAAAGCTTAAATCAAATTTAGACTGGGGGCTGGCTGTGTTTAAGCTTTAATTCCAAAATGACTTCTAAGGAAGTGTAAAGAATGGGAGGATTTTACATTTATGGTAAACTATAACTGTTCTTGGACATACTATTCATTTTAGATATGTTTTTATATTTCTTTGGGTAAGAAAAGCATATGGTGTGTATAACATACAGCTTACCACAGAAGCTCTTCGTATAAAAAAGTTCCCCTTAAATTTTAAAGAAAAAAAATAGCTATCTTCTATTTTTAAGTTGAGAAAGAACTACTGTTGAGTCCTTTTAAAGAAATAAAGTAAATGAAACATGTCCAGCGCAGGGAATCAGGAGTCTAGGCAGTTCAAATGGGTATATAGGTTTATTGTATGCTAAAACTCTCTACAACAATCTGGACAATCTAACTGTGAAAGTGAATTGGTGATAGCTAAGTCAACGTGGCCTGGATGTAGATCTTTTATGAATGTGACTGACGCCCAGTTAGAAAAGGAAGTATAGAAAAGTTGGTCTTCATCTAATCCTTTCAAAATTAAACTGTAATCAGCATCAGCTGATTTTGATATCCAAACAATCTGTAGAGAAGAAATAAATGGAAATGAGTAGTTTGCTTGTAACATAGATGAAAAGGATTTAATGCCAAAGTTAACAGTAAAGACGTAGATTATTTATGTAGCATACGCTATGAGGGTTTTTTTTTTACTACAGTTCATTTTTTTTTCAATACTGTAAAGGTAGAAACAAATATTACCATCTTAAATATGTGTTTTCTTAATAGTAGCAGAACCTCTTCACTCATTCATGTTTCTAGCAGTTCTAGGAACCGAGTAATATCCTCTCTGTTTGAAAATTAAAATGCTGTAATTAAATTACCGCTTCTATAAACAAATGGCCAAGATAAAATCTTCTGGCAAAATTCCCAATATTCTTCAAAACTAGTCCACTTTCTCTATGACAGGGAGTGAATTTGTCTCTACTCTGCATTGTTCAGGAACAATTTACGGTGGGGCATTTTGCTTGCCTAAAAATGGGATCAAATATTCCAATTCCTTATGCATAAAGCACCAATTTAAAAAGCTGGCTTGGGTCAGGCCCATTGGAGAAAGGACGGGCAGCAAGATGTTGGTCTTCTGTTTCATCATGATTTCATCTTCATTCTAGAAGACAGAAAACCACTTTATGGGGTATCTGAAAAACCCACATGGTTAGCCTCTTCTGTTAAATAGAAAAGACGATTACCAATTTGGATTAAGTCATTGTGCAGAAGAATTTAAGGCCTGAATACCTATGAATAAGAAAGACAAATCATACAGGCATCCTGAAATGTGACACGCTAGTTAGATGATTTAAATCCAGATGACCCATGTCAGAGTCAAGGGGTATTCCTAGATTTTTACACAGCTGGGTAACATCTATACCTAATTACAGGCTGTGCATTTTTTTTTTTTTACCTAACATGCCAGTTGCGACTGGAATCTTAATGGTATTAAATGGGTACAGATAGTTGACATGGAAAACTGCAGCAATGTGTTTGCCTCGGCAAACCCCTTTTGCATTCTATGGCATGCAGCTATAATTTTTCACAGCCCTGAACATTTGGCATTTGATCATGCAAATGCAGTAAAAGTAATATGGTTAGCCGGGGAGATCTGAAAATGCGTCACCTCCTTTTCTTGCAGCTCTAAAATAACAAGTTCTCAGATCTCTGGTGAATTAGTTCATTTCCAAAGCAAGAAATCCATTATTTCAATTTAATCACATGCCCTTTCTTGAGAGCCATGGCTGGCTCAGGAATTCTGGGAGTTGAAGTCCACGAGTCATTAAAGAGCCAAAGTTGCCTACCCCTGTCCTAGATTTTAGGTTGGGCTTGGATTAGACTGGCTGCAAATGAAGTTGCTGTAGAACATCTTTTAGGTCACCTCAGCTCTTGTTGGGAAGAGATGGGATGCCTTGGCTAGTTGCCCATTAATGCTGAGTACAACTTTCCTGCAAAGCTTGCAAGTTCTGGTTAATTAAGAGAGATCAGCTTCATCCTGAAGTTCAAGTACGAAACTGGGTCTCAGGAGAAATTCTTGTCATGTGAAGAAGACATCCACTTAGGACGTCATGAGCTATTTGAGGGTATTCTATATTTCTTCAGATCTCTGCTTCCCCCTTTTCTTTCTTAGTTAAATAATGGGAAAGAATCATTGACTGAACTGTCAAAAATAAATACTCCTATCATGATGCAAATGTTTCATCTTTTAAACTAACTTTTCCTTCTGTTTTAGAATGTTAACAAATCACAAATGCAAAATAGATACATAGATACATGGATGTATAGATGGTGGATGATAGATAGATAGATAGATAGATAGATAGATAGATAGATAGATAGATAGATAGATAGATAGATGATAGATAGAATCCCTCTGTAGATTTTACTCCGCTAGCCATCTCCGTTTCAAGATGATTGAGCCAGCGCTGTCTGAAGACATTTCTGCAGTCATGTGGCCAGCATGACATCACAGAGCGCTGTTACCTTCCAATCGAAGTGGTACTTATTAATCTACTCACATCTGCATGCTTTAGAACTGCTAAGTTGGCAGGAACTGGGATGAGGACAGGAGCTCAACCTGTCATGTGGTGCTCAGGACTCAAACTAGGCTCCTGGCTTTCCAGTTGACAAGCCTAGTGTGCTAACCACTGAGCCATCGTGCCTCAGATAGATAGATAGATAGATAGATAGATAGATAGATAGATAGATAGATAGATAGATAGATAGATAGAGGTAGGTAGGTAGGTAGGTAGATAGATGGACAGACAGACAGACAGACAGACAGACAAGACAAGACAAGACAAGACAAGACAAGACAAGATAGACAGATAGATGTAGGAATTTATTCAACCAGTATTTCTCAATCTTACCAACTTTAAGATGCCTGAACCAGAGTTGAACTCCAGAATTTCCCAGCCAGCATACAAATGAGAAACACCATATTAGACTAATAGAAGGATTGGCAGTCTTGCTAAGTGGAGTCATAGCATAATGTAGCATGGTTGCATGTATATGTGTCTTTATAAGCCTGTATGTTTATCGTGATGTTTGAGTAGAGATGTCTGCTTTTTGTCTTTTCAAATATGTGAGAGTAGGAATCAATCAGCTTATCTTGACTACTAAGAGACAAGTTGAGGATGCCATGTTTGAGAAGAAATAGAGGCACCATGAGGTTTTTCATGTTGTTCCAAGTAGCAACAGGAAGTCATAGTGTACTACTTTATTTACGCTAAGCCATGATTCTTAGAAATTCTGACTTCCAAACCCTTCCATTTGCTCCCTCCAAAGAAAGCGGTTGTGAAATAAATGGATTCTATGATTGCAAAGCTATATAGCGGTGCAATGTAATATATATTGGAAATATGGCAAGCCATGACCTCACCTCACTTTTCTTGATGATTATCATGTTGAAACATAATATGAACCATTGCTTTTCATAGCACAGCAAAACACAGTATATTGTGTAAGGTGTATTTTTTTTCTTTTTGAAAGTATTTCTATTGTTTTCTCCACTTTTCAGAGCAAAATGGTTATATTTTTAATTTCTTTATCTCCGCAAGATGCAGTTCAGACAACAGACTGCAAATCAAGATGGTTTCATAACCTTTGCCATAATTTAGATTTTAATTTGCCTGGTGATTTAAGGTTCCAATTTTAAGAAGAAAAAATAAAGTACACAGAATGATAAAGGAAGGTAATAGTTTAACGGATGTAATCAGTCATCCGGTAAACTATTACCTTCCTTTATCATTTAAACATTTAATAAAGCTGGACATGGGGAAATTTGATCAATTACATAGCAGTTTTTGAGAACAGCTACTGTGAAGCCAATTTTTTTAACAAACCGTCATGACTGACAGATGTACAGGTTTAATTAAATCTTTTATTCTACAACTGCAGGTTCTCTTGTTTAGGACCTCAAATCACCACAATGTCTTTTAATGAATATAATTTATGAGAATAATTATGCCATTTAAAAAGAAGAATGTAGTGCACATTAAAACAGAATTACCTTTCTGTGTTCAATTGAAAGAGCGGCTGAGATTAATAAAATCTAAATATCTATAAAAGCTAAAATGGGGAGATGTTACTAATCTAATGATCGGATGATTTTTTATTTTATATATATATAAATTTGACATGGGAGAAAACCCGAATAACCAAAGACCTACACACACACACACACACACACACACACACACGTGTGTGTGTGTGTGCGTGTGTGTATTCCCTATTGAGTTTGTTGCCCATACAATCTTAATATAGCTTTACTTGTCAATGGGACTATTTCAGAATTAAGTACATTTCTAATTTTAGGTAGAAAAATTCTTATCCTGACCATGGTAGAAACTAAATTTATGGCATTAAATAGCTCCCTAAGATTTTTTGTGGGCATTTGTGATGTGGCGTATCATCATATTCTTATAATCATTAGATGATAGTGCGGTATTTATGATGTATTTTAACAGTTTGTAAACAGCATAAGTTGTTGTGATGACCTAGGCACAATGCATTCAAAACGCTCCCTTTCCTTGCCAATAATCCTATTGTCTTTCTGCCAATCCTTGAAGGAAAGGACAAGTCTGTACTGCTGCCTTGATTTATTTTTTGTTTGAAATATTTCTATAGCACCTTTTTAAAAAAAAAAACAGTTAAGTGTATAAACCTTCAAAACTATGAAACAATCACCCTATTAAGGGCACCTAAAGACTTGCCTCTGCCAATTGGTCTGGGGGAGAGAAGGTGCCCAGTAAAGGAGATCGGTTGACTACAGCAGAGATCCCATCTTCCCCCACTCCGCTCCACCCTCCACCTGTATCCTTAGGTTTTAATGTTTGATTTTAATTATTTATGTTTTAATTGTACATTCATTGACATATTCTATGACTGCAAATTAATACCCTTTACAAATATATATATATAAGGAGTTATGTATCCAACCGACCTTCTTGATAGGCAAATCAAAAGATCATTACTTGATTAGTTGTTTTCTTCATGGCTGACCTCAGACTCTACATTACTGAGATTTTTTTAATATACACTCCACACCTCATCTTTCTACTCTATTGCCATCTTTGAATGTGATTATGGAACGTTACTGGAAAGCTGCAGGATTAAAAACATGATAGTAAAATAACTTCAAGGCAACATATTAATCCCTAGGATGGGCCAGTGTGGCGTGCTATAAAAGTTTAGATGTGCGCACCTCGAGTGCACTGCAAATAAAACCTAAAACACTAATATTTAAACAGTACTTGAATTCAGGCCACATTAATTTGATATAAATCCATAATTACTTGTATTAGAGTTAAAAGGCATCCTGTGTGAGCTTTAAAATTCACAACCACAATACATTTTTTATAATGGCACAATACATTAAATTAATAGAAATTGCATGCACTGGTGGAAAACCTATTGTGTGATTTTTAATGATTGATAATGTAATGCAATTACCATTTAAGTAAATGAGGACTATCTAACTATCAGGACAGCATAATTTTATCTTCAACAATTCTCAGGTATAGTAGAAAAACAAAATGAATGTAGGCAATGTGATTTATAAACGCTTTAAATCCAAAACTTTTGATTTTAATTTGTAGTTATTTTAAACGTATTTGTTGTTTTGCCATTTTTTTAGTGGATTAATAAAGAAACAGGTACATTGTTGTGTTATCTATTTGTAATTTCGGCAATTCTTTATGAATATAATTGGCTTCCTTTGTAATTCAATTTATGTTATTTATTTGTTACGTTAAAGAATTTACATGGCTGTCCACTTCCAAAAACGTGGCTCTGGATGTTTTACAAGAAAAATAATTTCAAGATAAAGCCATAATTAATCTCTGTTTTAATTCAGTGCTTTTATTTGTTTGTTTGTTTTCTGGGAAGGTTTTACCATATTCTTTTTCTGTTCGTTTTACCATACACTCAAAGTGGTTGATGTTATAAAAAGGTTACAAACCGTTGTCTTAAAAAAAAAGAATTGCAGCATTAGAAATAAAACTGTCTGCCAAAAATACTATATCACCACAGGCGGATGAACTTGAAAAATGATTTTGATATAATTGGTACATTTGTAGAATTCAGAATATTACATGTTGTCAATATCTATATTGTAGACATGTTTCATGTTGCAGACAATATAACTAAAATGCTATTAAGTAAAAATTAAACACACTTGGAAAATAATATTCTTTGCAATTTAGGTTAATAGTTGTAATTTGATTTTTATACATAAAATGCTTGGGTAAAAGAGATTATTTAACTGCACATTTCTTGGGATAGACATTCACATTTTTTATAGTGGTGTTCCCAGCAGTTTTACCAAGTAACATACTTTGTGGAGCTGTTGTGGTTGAATATATGAAGACAGTCAATGTTTTAAATAATTTGATTATAACTCCATGCCATACTGGTTAAGGTGGTGCTGAACCATTATATTGGAGCAATTATTTATTTGGTCTAGTTAAGTTTGTGTTTGAGATGTGCGTCAAAGTTACAGACCCTTTTTGTTAGATGTAAAACATTGAAGGACCTGAACTGTCTGCATTTTGCTATGATGAAACAGAATCACAAATGAAAATAGGATAGATAGACTCCTAACCATATTGTTTTGAAAGTCAGCCAGTTTCAATTTCCATCAGACTTTGCCAGATGCATGCAGGTACAAAGTTGAAAAATGAATGAGTATTTAATATTTGTTTATGCTTTATGGCACCATATGTTGAGAAGATGTAAATTGTTCAAATTGCTTTATGAAATACTAGGACCTAAAAGAGAAGGAGAATGAAGAACTTGATATTCAGTTGAAAGTATTTGATGAAAACAAAGAGGAAGACTTAATTGAATTGGCCCATCGTCTCAATGACATCAAAGTGGAAATGGAATATCCTTTTTTTAAATAATAATAATATATATACTATTTTCCTTAGAACTGAATGGTAAATAATGAGTAAGACTAGAAGACAGAATAAGTTTCATTAGGGTACAGGAAAAGGTACTGTTTTTGCAAATAAATAAGAACAGTGATAATTATTTAGGATAATGTGTGAGTCAATTAAGAGTATTGCTAAATGAGTCACACATGAATTTATATTGAACTTTCTTCTTGGTACTAAAGACATTATTGGATTTATATTAAAGTTTTGGGGCGAGCTAAAATAAACCTTGTGGTTTTGCTTAAGTCGCACAATAACTTTACAGTGTGGATTTATTTTCTTCATTGTTTTAATACATTTTAAAAACTTAAAGAGCTAGAGGTATTGTTAATTTGGGACAATTCTCATATTGAAAAATGAAAACAGGCACCTTACTTTTAGCAGTAAGTACAAAGATGTTACATTAAACATTTAAACATTCCAATCTTAAATCATAGCATTTAAAGCAGTGGTTCTCAACCTTTCTAATGCTGCGACCCCATAATACAGTTCCCCATGTTGTGGTGACCCCCAACCACTTATATATCACCGGGTGCCTGGGGCGTGGCCAAAGAAAAGGGGGAAAAATGGCGGACAGCCTTGTTTGGCGACCACCGTGAAATGGTCGTTCGACCCCAAATGGGGTCCCAACCCACAGGTTGAGAACCACCGATTTAAAGGTTACTTTAAATTTTGTTGTAGCAGTAAATGGAGGCTTAAAGTACATGTCCCGGTTTAGAGTTTAAAGTTGGTGTCCAATATTCGGTAACATAGTAGAAGAATTTTCAAGGCTTTTTCGGCGTTGAGTTGCAAAATATAATGATTATCTATGGTTCATCTATTCTGACATTTCCTTAACGGTTCTTTTACTGATGTGAATGAAGTTTACCACTTGTTGTATAATATGTTGAGAGAAACAACATCAGAAAACTACTTCCTATCAATTTTACAACATTTTTTACTCATTAGGAATGATTATTATGTACGGTAAGCAAGCTATTTTGCTTTTCATGTTTCAATGATGCATCCTGTGGCTTAATTAAATGAGGATGTAATATAGTAAAGGGAACGTGAATTCCCATCTTTCTTTTCAGGTGGAACTATCAAAGAGGCATTAGCAAATTAATTACTAACACTTTCAAGTTGATTCCATTGCAGAGGAGAAGATCCCAGTGTATTGTGGTATTGTGTTTTATCTGTTTTGTGGCAGATAAAACAGATCTTTTGTTTAAATCAACAGAAAATGTAAGGTTTGAGGGCTGCTCTGGTGTGAGTTAGCTTAAATTGAGTTAAGTCTTGTGGTCTGTGGCCATGGTCTATGGCCACAAAAGGTATTTAAAGGGAGTCCGTGGTGAAGGAAAGGTTGGGAACCATTGGATTATGTGACTTTTTTTTCTTTTTTAAGTGTGCCTGTTGAATATTTATTACAAAAACAATTGCATTTTATTTTTCACACTAGCCCTCAATATTACAAGATAATAGAAGAATGTGTTTCACAGATAGTGTTGCACTGTAGTGGTATGGATCCTGACTTCAAATGTAGAGGAAGATTGGATGTAGACTTCACACATCTTGTGGGTAGGTGTTCAATGTTTTTCATAATTATGATTTACTGTTTTTTCCCACGCGGTCAGTTTTTCTACCCTAAGAACCGGGCCATTGAGTCATTTTGATTTCAATGGAAGTAGGGTAATATATATATATCTAAAATAAAATGAACACCAAGGTATTGATTAAAACTATAAGAGTTTAATTTAAAAACACCAAGCTTTCACCGTCATCTGCCGGCATCATCAGGGCTGGACTGTCAGGGTGTGAGAGAGTCATTTTATAGGCAGGCCGGAGTCTGCACTCGGCTCCTCGATCTCGTCACCGGACCCAATTGGTTGAATTGTGCTCCGGTGGTTCGTTTCTTTTTGTCCTTCCTAGCTGCGTGTGTATCTTCATCTACCTTCTTTTCTTTGGATTCTGAGGCAGGTGATGTAACCCCTTGTCTCTTCGATTGCCTCTATCCCTCAATCCATTCCCCCTTTCGGGTTCGAGTGGTAGTTTGTATTTGTCCTTTTCCTTTCTGCCAGTGGGAGTTAAAAGGAAGAAACAGCTAAGACCACACATTGCTGCTCAAAGCACGAAGCTGAAAACACCAGCCTGAAGATGACGAATGGGACTTCGTCGAAATGTCGCCAAGACACTTCCAATTTTACACGGGAGAAAACCCGAACAACCAAAGACCTACATACAAACACCCGCGAAAACCTCAGAAAACATATCTATCTATCTATCTATCTATCTATCTATCTATCTATCTATCTATCTATCTATCTATCTATCTATCTTATTGAAGTTGCTGAGATCAAAAAGATCCTTGTTTGTTCTTCCATTTTTAGTGGAATTTATATACAGCATGTGCCAAGGATTCAGTGCTTTGTGATCTCTTGTTTATTCTGTCTATAAACATATCTACATATCCATATAGAAATTCCACTGATTTTGGAGCAGGGAGAATAGAAATGAATGCATTATCACTAGAATTGTAGGAATAATCATTATGTATTTAGCTTTTCTCAGCTGCAACCCTGTTTTGATTAATGTTAATTTTAGTTCTGAGTAATTTTAGAAATGTAAAATATAAAAATAGGCATATATGTTTTTTTAAATAAAAATTTTAGTGAGGAAAGAGAAGGGTTTCATATATATTTGTCCTTTATAGAACAAATCTGAGGCTATTCAAGAACATTATTTTTTTTAACCCAGATGATTTTAAAAACGATTTGCTTCCTTTCAGAAGCAATGGTATCGCTGTATGGTATTGTGTATCTTGGATTTTTAAAATTGTAGTTATGTTGGGCCCTATTATTTGTATCCTTTCAGACAGCTGTGTGAACAAAGCAAAAGTTGAAGAAAGTGAGCAAAAAGCTGCTGATTTTTCCAAAAAGGTAGGCACCAAACAATTTGTCATCTTGCAGCCTTTGTGAAACTTTCATTGTTATATTTCTACATATTTTTGTTAAAAGGTCTTCGCTTTCAGAATTAAGTGTTACTATGCTCATATCTGAAAACAGCTGTACACAGACATGATAAAAATACACTTAGATATTTAGTGATCATTTAAATCAAACTAATTATTTCAATTAATAATCAAAAGATCCCTCAGCAACCAGGCAGAACTTAGCTTAGAAGTTGGGGTATTTGGTATGATACAAAAGCTTTTGTCGGTCTCTTGTCTCACCTTGTCTTATCTTAGCTTAAAATCCTTAAATTGCTCTTATAGGCAACACATTATCTCCTGCTCTGTCTTAGCTTTAGCCAATTCATCTTTAAGATAAACATTCTTGTTTACCTCCAACCTAAGTCTATGGACACCCAGAGGTTATAAGTTGACTCAAGAATTTTTAACTATCCCCTACTGGTGTTTCTGATCTCCAGTTAATCATTTGGCACAATTCCACATATATTAATTAGAATAAATACTGCTTCCCACTGCTTAACCTAATAGAAATTTATAATGGGAAATAGCCTACTGTTACTGTCTAGGTGTATGAAGAAAACTATCTCAAGATACTTTTTCCATTCCATTCCATTCCATTCCATGCTCTGGCATTACTTTAAGTAATCCATGAAGCCAGGCAGATTTCTTTAGCTCAATCTTTCGTTCTTATGTAGCAGTATTAAATTTGGACCAAGATGAATGATTATTTCCATACTGGTGATAATTGCAGTTTGATGAAGAATTCACAGCTCGGCAAGAAGCCCAGGCTGAGCTTCAAATACGAGAGGAGAAAATCCGACAACTTGAAGCTGAAATCCAGCAGTTGCGAACCCAGGTATAAGATAAATTAGTGGCATCTTTACCCTGTTGAAATGACTTCTGGTTTCTTCTTCTGGAAATAGGGTGCTAATTGCTAAACGCCAGCTAAGTATAGCTGGAATAAGAAATGTTACAGAAAGTCCTTGACTTAAAACCCTTTGTTTGAAGTACAACGGCACTGAAAAAAAAGGTAATTTATGATCACTTTTCTCACTTAACAACCATTGCAGCATCCCCGTGGTCATGTGATCAAAACTTGTCATGTATTTATGTCAGAGCATGCACAGTCTTATTGCACTGAGATAACCCACAGGAGTAAACACAGTAAACGGTGGTCTGTATTAAATGGTGGTTTATCTTACACTATCTACAATATCACACACCAGGAACAATATACATACACGTGGTAATACAGCAGAATCCAACACACAGCAATTATAGCAAGAAAACGGAAGAAAGAGCACACATCTGCGGAGCCTTCCTTTTAATACAAAGCTCTTAAAGAGATACAGACCCTGCTGAATCATTCCCATCAATATATCTTACATCTTACATTACATCAGCTGTTTAGTTTGAAATCATTACCTTGACAATTTATGACACTTGCACTGTTCTGGGGTCCTGTGATCCCCATTTGTAACCTTCCCAGCTGGCTTCTGAGAAATAAAGTCAGTAGGGAAACCAGATTCATTGAAAAACCACATGATTCTCTTAACAACTATCGCAGAAAGGTCATGAAATGAGGCCCTAACTCACTTAACAACTGCCTTGCTTAGCAATGGAAATTCTCAATTGTGGTCATAAGACAAGGACTGCCTGCATTTCATTGTTTCAACTTGAGCAGAGTTGTGGGTTGCTTTCACTCAGATGTAACCCACATAACATAGAACATCAACATGAAATTAAATACAAGAATTGTTTGGGTTCTTTTTAATTGGGTTTATTTAAAATCTGATTATTGCATTAGTGCATGTAAATGCTTATCAAACATGTCTAGAACAACATAATGTTATTAATATCATTGATACTTAGGATTAAGTACCAGTAGAGACTAAAGATTGTTATGTAGAGGTGTATTTAAAGCTGAAGGATTCAAAAGAAAGCAGAACAAATTTAATCTTTAATTGTAAATTTATAGGCACTTTAAAAACAAAGAGCAAATCTTTAGCTATTTGATAATCTGTCATAGAAAGTTCATTTGTTCTGGCTGATTTTATTCTAAAAAAAGAATCCTAATGAATACATTTTCAATTTATGGGTTTGTTATGAGAGAATTGTCATATTTTACAAAAAAGAGACATGCTGGTGTTTTGTTCAGGGCCTCATAATGACTTACGATAGTGCTAAAAGCTTATGTTGGTTTAGATAATGAATTTTCCTCATGTTACCTTGGTAATAGAACTGACGATTATTAAGAATCAGAGCTAAGAGTAGGATCTTCATCCTAATTTTCTTGCTTATACAGCTAACATAATTTTAAAAAATGATTTTCTGAGGCAGTGAATATTTAAATATGGGACCTTAGGATGATAATTCAGTTTCAACCTGTGGACTTCTTTTCTAACACTTCTATGGAGACTACATAGATAAAAATATCCTTAAACCCCTTGGAATGTACTTTTGTTAATGGACCTTTCCTTTTGTTTTCAAATGTTGCATCATTAATTCTCTTGATCTGTTTTAACGTGGAGAAACTCTTACAAAAGTTACGCATGACACTTGTTGCTTCTTACTGTAATGAAGTGCTAAAAATATCTGTTAAATAGCTGAACTGATCTGAAAATGATTTTTTCCCCTCTGACCATATTCTCACTTATTATGGATTTCATCTCAGCGAAATACTTGAATAAAATATAACAGAACATAATTGGGTGAACTTGCATTTTAGTTGGGAGATATTTAGAATGAGATGACCAGTAAAAGGGAATATTTGCAGCTCAGGATTGAAATGAGGGTCCTTGGTGTTTCTCTGAGCTTAGTTGTTTTCCATTACCCAAACTAAGTATAGTAACATCATCCTGTTACCTAGTGTGATGTTGTCACCTAGTTTGGGTAATGAAACATCTGCAAGAAAACAACCAAGCTCAGAGAGCACCAAGGACCCCTCAGGATGAGGAGAATATTTGATTGCCATTGAAAGCAAACTTTGATGTGTACTTTTAATAGCTTGTGAATGACATATTTTCATCTTCCTGTCTCCTTATCCCAATACTTTCTTTTGTAGGGTTCTGTATCTTCAGGTGGTAGTGATCCTCCTCCTCCTCCTCCACCCCCACCCCCTCCTCCCTTGCCAGGTGGTATGGTTCCTGTTGCCCCTCCTCCTCCTCCTCTACCACCACCACTACCCGGATGTGGAGCACCTTCAGGCCCTCCACCGCCACCACCTCCTCCTCCTCCTCCTATGTTTGGTGGCCCACCACCACCACCACCACCTTTTGGTGGCATCCCTTCTGTAGTAACTGCACCAGTGCTGCCTTTTGGGATGAAGCCAAAGAAGAAGTACAGCCTGGATGTAACTATGAAGAGAATCAACTGGATAAAGGTATCTCTATCAAACATCCCGAATGTTTGCCTTCTGCTTTTCTAATGTCAAGGAGAATAGAGGTAGCCCTTGAGTTATGACCAGCGATTGTCTGACGTTATGATGGCACTAAGCAAATGGACTTAGATTCAGTCCTCAAAGTTCCGGCTGGTGCGGCACCCAGGGGTTATGTATATTCAGGCCCTTGGCAACCAGTTTGCACTTACCACCTGTTGCAGCATTCTGCACTTATGAGATCACCGACTTTCTCTGCTAGCTTCCCACAAGCAAAGTCAATGGGGAAGCTGGTGAAGAAGGTCACAAATTGTGTGAGTAAATCTCCCCCCCCCACCAGCCTCCCTGTGTTTGCGCACAAGCATGCACTTTTTCTCCCTAGCCTTCCTGTACTCATACACACATGAACAAACACACAGACACACCATTTGCCCTCCTTTCTTGGCCTCCCTATGCTTGCACACGTACATGCCTTAACCCGGATATTTTTTTTCCTTCCTTCCTCCACACTGCAGCATTCCCACATACATTTTTGTGGCTTGCGCTGAGCCACCCAAGGCCTTATCCACCCTCCCACCCAACTCTGCAGCATACCTGCGCTCCTTACCTGGGACTCTCTCTGCTTCCCGGTTAACAATCCACATGTCTTTTGGTTACAATGACCAACAGGACTATCTGAATTGCTATCACTAAACGAGATAGTCATGTGTTATCGTGCTTAAGGACTTCAACACTTAACGACTTAATCCTGGTTACGATTGCCGTGGTAACTCAAGGACAATCTGTAATGCCTAATTCATGCATCTGAATTAGGTCTGAATATACAAATGCTGCTGTTTAATCTTTGTTTATTTTTGAAGATAATTGTTTTCCCATGAACAGTTAAGATATTAATCTCTAATCCTTATTAGTGGCTGGGGATATTCTCAAGCAACATTGAAGCTCTTACTTAGAGTTGTGATGGACCTGGTCTCTGTTTTATATATCTGTATAAATAATCTTCCATTTTCCCTCTGGTGCGAAAGGTAACAGATTCAATAAAATATTTTAAAAACTCATCATAAACCATTGTGGTCATAAACTAGTTTATAATACCATATTTATTAGAAAAATGTCTCAGGCAGACTAAAGTGGTCTGTTGGGGCAGGAGATGTAATTTTGGTTTTAATAATCTTGATTTCTCCATGGGGGGAAAGTGGGGGGAAACCTTAACACATTTTGCAGATTTTACATGTATACGGAGAATAAAATAGATATTGCAAGGTACCTGCTTTTTTTTTTTCCGCTGGCTTTTTATTAATAATTTACTCTTCTGGGCTCTGCTTGGATGATTTAAGTTGCATCTATAAATCAGTTTATTATTATGTATTCTGTTGTAGTAGATGAGCAGTAGGAAGCTCATAATATGTACACAATATTATATAAATTGAGGATAGGAACATCTGAAGATTATCCTGTTCTAAGGTGTGTATTTATTATGAATGCACAGCACAACACAATAAACAGTCTGCTCAGTTCTATAAACACTACTTATTATTATCATATTGGATATGAGCTGGAAAGTGTGTTTGGATAGATCTTCATTTTCGCAACGTAATGTCCAATATAGCAGCATAATTCCAATGGATTAGATTTTGAGAAGCAAACAGGGAGGAATATTTATTAATTTTACTCGTATTTCACATTTCTAAACCACCCATCTCCCTTCAAAAGGGACTCTGGACTCTGTACAATAAAACTGCGAGATGTAAAACAGTATATAAATTCAAAGGTTAGAGTTAAAATTTTGAGTTAACTTTTTTTTTTTAAACAGAGCCAAGAATTGGTTGACAGAGGCAAAGGAGATTGCTCTCATGGCACTAATCAACCCCTCACTGACCACTCCTTTGGACTGCCCATGCAAGGCTGCAGAGCCACATTTTGGCTCCTTTTCAAAAAACCAGGAAAATGGGGGCCTACCACCTCTGGGGGAACAATATTCCATAGGGTGTGGACATCAGCAGGGAAGGCTGTCTTCCTAGATCCCAGGAATATAAAAATAAGGGCTCCTTACAACAAACTCAGTTTTTGTTTTATGGATTCTGCAAAGGGAAAAGAGTTGGACAGTTTTTCATATCTCCTCTTAAAACAGAGCCCCCCCCAAGCTTTTGGGCACCAGCGACCAGTTCCTTGGAGAAAGGTATTTCCATGGACCGGAGAGTGTGTGGTTTTGTGTGCTGCCTGCATCCCACAGATGGGGCTTGTTTGTGTAGACCGGTTGCTGGCATGCCGTAGCCCGGTACCGGTCCACGGACCGGGGGTTGGGGACCCCTGTCTTAAAACACACATATCCTAAAACAGTGGTTCTCAACCTGTGGGTCAGGACCCCATTTGGGGTTGAATGACCATTTCACGGGGGTTGCCAAACAACGCAGTCCGCCATTTTTTTCCCCCTTTTCCTTAGCTGTGCTACTCCCTTTTATTCTATTGGCTTTTGAAAGCCAATAGAATAGACTCTCTTGAATAGAGTCTAATTCTATTGGCTTTCAAAAGCCAATAGGAATTGTCCAGGCTGTCTCTGCCCTGCTGAGCCCGCCAAAAGTCCCATTCTACAAACGGTGCTGCACCAGTTGAGTAGTCCTCGACTTACGACCGGTTGAGTAGTCCTCGACTTACGACCGGTTGGGGGTCGCAGCATTAAAAAGGTTGAGAATCACTGTCGTAAAACAACAGTTGTGTTAAAAAAAGTTAAGTCCATGAAGTTTTCTTGGCAAGAATACAGAAGTACATTGCCATTGTCTTGTTCTTCTGAGACACTTTTATTTCTACCCCCTTGTCTATATCTCTAGGAATTCTTGCTGATTTCCTATGCCAAATACTAACTAGATCCTGTTCAACTTCCAAGGTCAGCTGACTACCATCAGCTAGGTAGTCCCAAATGTGTTGCTTGTCAACCAAGAAGGGTCTTCAGCTCAGAACTGAAGAAGCTTCTTGGATGAGAAGTGAAATGTTTTCCAAGAAAAAAAAAACTAAGAAAATCCAGTTGCCTTTTAGAAAAAGCACCTTTGGGTCTGGATGGTTAAGCGTCTCCATAGACATCTGCTAAGCACCACATAGGATGCTCCCTACTCTTATTGAAGCAGTTTCACTATCATTTTCTTTTGAAAAATACGTGTTTTTGTTCCTTTTTTAACATCTTTTTTTTTCTTGTTTAATGGAGAAGATTGAAAACTTCAGTCTCTGAATAATTTGCTTTGATTGCAGGATGTACAGATGTGATGATCTGCCACTGTCATGATTTGTGGAGGGTTAAGTGATTTAAATTGATCGTCTATAATTAGCTTCATTTTCATTGCAGGTTGAACCACACGAAATACAGGAACACTGTTTTTGGGTAAAAGCTAAGGATGAAAAATTTGAAAATCCAGATCTGTTTGCCAAACTGGCGCTCACTTTTGCTACACAGAAGAAGGGTAATTATTTCTTTTTTTTTCAATGGCCATTAATGGACATGTGGATTGATATTAATATTGTATTAGTGATGCCTTAGAGATCAGTACACAAAGATATACTAATATGACCCTAAAATCTACATTTTGAGATCTAGGAGATAACAGAAAAGGCAAAAAGGAGATGATATTAAAAATACATACTATTTATGGGCTGGGAAAGGAAGCAGTTGAAATAAACAAGAAAACTGGAATCATTTTGATGGTTTTGGTATCATAGACCTAAAAAAACCCAAAAATAAAATAGAATCACGTTGATTTAAGAAAGATGGGGGCCATGGAGTAGAAAGGCTTCTTTAATATGTCCTTCATTCTTTAACGCATAAAGAATGAAGGACATATTACATTCTCCCAAACCAGAATGGAATCCTAGACAGTTTTATATTAACTAATGGAATGGAACTTTTATTTCTTCACTTTTGAATGGAAAACATTTTTTTCCCTTTGTTTAACTCAGCTTTTGTTTTCTGGATGTAAAGATCAAGAAGGTAGTGACTTGAAAACCTTACTGAGTACCTTAAGATATGTACATATATTACACTTATTCGAGCCTTTGGAAACAAGACACATTTTTTTTGTGTGTGTAAATAGCACAGCATAATAGTAGGGTCTAGGTTATGGCAGCCTTGAATTTTCTTTTTTGCCCTAAAGCAAAATACTGCAAGTTACTATTAGATTAGCTGTGGCGTAATTTTTCCAGGCAAGTTCAGTTAAGAACCCTTGTCTGGAAAGAAGTGTATGAAACTCTGCTTTAGGCTGAGCAATTTGTTCGTGGATACTGATGATTTGTTACAGCTGTCCCAGCCCAAAATACTTCAAGTGGCTTACATTATCCAGTATCAAATTTAAGAGAAAAAACATTACTACTCAGACTAGTGGCCTAGATAAAAAACAATGGTAGCAATAAAGCAAATAAAAACTACTCACATAACAGGCGTTCTGCAAATAAGCTCAGGCTTGAGATTACAGCTACATCTCAAGAACATTTTGGAATCCTAAGAAACTGGGCATCTTCTCTGGGGATGAGGGATACTGTTCCAGAGGATAGAGCAGGTATGCTTCTTCCAGCCAGGACAAGATTTAATTGAGGAGACTTGAAGCCCCCCTCTCTGTCTGAAGATGCTGGATGGTCCTCCTCCGTCCCAGACAAGATTTAATTGAGGGGACTTGGAGCCCCCCACTCTGCCAAAAGATGCTGAATGAGCACAAGCCGTGGGAAACAGGCAGTTTGTTGAAGGGCCTTATGGGTGGCAACCAGCACCTTGAATTGTACCTAGAAGCCAATGGTAGCCACTGCAGCTCATGGAGCAGTGATTACAAATGGCCACTCTATGCTTGCATTGCTGCATTTTGGATCCAAAAATGAATAACGAGGGCAAGAATTGGGACAATTCCTCGTGTCTTCAATTTCCCCAAAGTTGGTCCACCCTCAGATTCCTACCAGATACAGTATCGATAAAGCCACCTACCTTCACATCTCCCCCCAGTTCACTGCAACCTTGTTTCCTCTATCTCATGGCCACCATCCATACCTCCTAGCACCCCAATTCTACTTGCAGCCTTTGCATTACATCCAGTTCATTTTAGTTCATCCCCTTGTCTTTATTTGTCTCGCTTTACAAAAGATTCCGTTATAAGCATATGAGAATCACAATTTAAAGTTCATCAGAATAAACAATTTAGATTTGTGAAGACGATAGCCAGGTATCGTGAGTTGTAACATTGCCATTTGAAAGTCTGGACCCCAGTTGTTAGTTGGAAATGGAGAGTAAAATGGAATCTATTTTATGTTGCTTGCTATATAGAAGCACTTTGCAGTGATTCATTCAAAATTCATACCAAAAAAGCCTGAATAAGTTAATGGGTACCATTGACTTTATGAGTGATGGGAGGATGGAGTTCCTTGCTCTTCCGAAGTACCCTCTCAATCCATCATCTTCACAGTTGTAAAGGCAGTCCATCAATACCTGCTATGATAGATTTATCATCTTACATAGAGACTGAAATCTTCAGGAATCCAAATGTTGATGGATGATCAAGGAGATCTTGGTTATGCAAATGCGCTAAACATTTGCTTTTAACTCCCTGAAATTCTCTTAAATTGAAACATGGCAGAAGGCACAGTATGGGAACTCCAAAACCACGTGACTTACATTTATTTTTTAATTGTCTCCAAAGTCATTGCTTTTCTTGTAATAGCGTTATACACTTACATGATTTGTAGGATTCACTTGAATGCTCTTCATTTTGGGATTTTTGCTTTTAATTGTCTTGGAGTTTTGTTGTCTGTTGCATGCCTTGAAAACGCTCTTTAGAGTATTCCTACTTAGACTTTCTTTAATCTAGTGGAAAACTGGCAAATCCTTTGACTGTTATTGTTGTGCTGTCAAAGTGGAGGCAGAAAAAAATAGGTGGTAATTCATTCGTAGCCTAGTCCTGAGTCACTGACAATTTTACAAATACGCTTGGAAAACTGTGCTATTCTCTTTTTCCTTTCTGTCTTGTGTCACAATGGCAATCTATACCAATTTTGAGGGTCATCTAGTCCAACCTTTTGCCCAGTACAAGAATTCATTTTTATAGTAAATGCTAATTACTGTTCTAAATGCTTCCAGAAAAGAAGAGTCCACCACCTCTTTAGAAAGTCTGCATGTAGGGTTCAAATGAGAAGATTCTTTAGTTTTGAAGGCTGTCTTTATAATACCTAGTCTAGCAAGTAATGGAAATATTTAAACCTTTTATATACAGCCATGGAAGTAGAAATAGAATGTAACATTGAAGGTGTTATAAGTGGTAGCAAAAACAGTACATTTTGAATAGAATATTGCTGGAAGGGACCTTGGAGTCATCTAGTCCAGCTCCCCGCTCAGGCAGGAGAACCTATACCATCTCAGGCAAGTGACTGTCCAGCCTCTTCTTAAAACGTCCAGTCTCTTCGGTTTTAAATATATTTAAGTACGAGGCACAAAGAAGGTTCTGCTTGAGAGTCCTCGGTACTCTCTGAGCTTGGTTGTTTGCTTGCAGATGTTTCATTACCAAACTTGGTGACATCATCAGTGCTGGTAAAGAATGAGGTTTGTTTTCCATTTATATTATGGTGGATTGCCCTGTCAGCGTTGGTGGGAATGATGTTGGAGATTCTTTGGTTAGGCTGTTTACTGTTAGCATCTTTGGCCGTTGCTTGACTGGGGTATTGTTTACTACTTGATACTAGGTCTGATGTTAATCTTAGTGTTAATCAACAATTAAGAAGTAAACTATACCCCAATCAAGAAACTGATTAAATAAAAAAATGGCCAACACAATGAAGTAAAGAATCCTTGCTTAAGTCTTGGTGAAGATCCAAGTTTTCACTCTTCTAACAACAGGACTGGGGGGGGGGGGAGAGAATCTGAATCTCAGGGGAAACTTAGTTCCAGAGAGCAGGTGCTGCTATGGAGGAGGTCTGCTTCCAGGGTCCTGAGAGATAACATGGTTTAATCAAAGAAACCCAGAACGTGCCAACCAACTGTGCTGAATCAAGTTGTTTGGACCGATGTTATTGGAGACAGGAGGTCTCTCAACTAATCAGATGACCGGATTGAGCCTGAGGGAGGGGTCAAATGTATCATCAATCTTGAGTCAATTCGCACCCACAAGAGATCTAAGTCCAGCTCACCTTGAATTCCTTTGATTCTAATGCACTCCCAATTTGCTTTGACCATTAGTAGTCCGATTCTTGGAGAGTGCTTCAGATTGCAATAAATCTGTAGTCATTCAACTGCCCGATTCCTGATTTCTTGTGCCTGACATTAGACCCATTAAGTCAGCGGTTCTCAACCTGGGGTCAGGACCCCATTTGGGGTCGAACGACCATTTCACGGGGGTCGCCAAACAACGCAGTCCGCCATTTTTTCCCCCCTTTTCCTTAGCTGTGCTACTCCCTTTTATTCTATTGGCTTTTGAAAGCCAATAGAATAGACTCTCTTGAATAGGGTCTAATTCTATTGGCTTTCAAAAGCCAATAGGAATTGTCCAGGCTGCCTCTGCCCTGTTGAGCCCGCCAAAAGTCCCATTCTGCAAACGGTGCTGCACCAGTTGAGTAGTCCTCGACTTACGACCGGTTGGGGGTCGCGGCATTAAAAAGGTTGAGAACCACTGCATTAAGTCATATTGCAGAATTGTTTTGAAAACTCTTCAGCTTCCATTTGGAATGTATGAATATGTTTGGTTGTTCATTAAAACTCCCCCACCCGTACAATCTATTTGTATTTGAGTAAAATATTTCAATATAATTTCTGAAGGTAGTAATTCATTTGTGAAACCTCTAGATGAATATTGGTTCATGTCATTTTGATAGATAAAAACTAATATTGCCAGACATTGCTGTGCATTGAATGCAAATAATTGAGCCTGTTGTCATAGTATCTGTCTTATTTTTTTTTAAATAGGAATGCAAATATTGTAAATAGATATATGCTAAATTCTACAGTTGTTTGAATGCTAAGGCAATTCATGGCAGTTCACACTGTTTTAATAGATTGATTAGCTTCCTCTAGACATTCAATCACCTCTTAATTCGCCGCCTAAAATCATTTTGCCCAGATCAGGTAAAGATTCACTGAAACATACTAATTCATTTAAAAGCTAAAAATGTTAGTTGTAATAAAACCAGCATAGTTGACTTACGGTGTTGCTATCATCTTCTTGATAATGGCTGTCTGACAAAAAATTCTTAATAACTGGGTTTGGAACAAATTATGGAAAAGTCTGTTTCAGCATATAATTTACTCATAAAATAGACTGATTTATGTCAGTAAGATGTGGTTGTGTTAAACACGTTTGTGGCATCCTTTAAAGACAAAAACAGGTGAAAAATATACTGTGGAGGACATTTTGGCTCAAAAATACATACCGTAGTTCGCATATAATTGAGAGCTATAATTTGTCAAACTTCTCAAGGATATTTTGTTGAATATTATCAAGCAGACATCTCGCTTTCATTGGTTCTAATTCTGCCCACAAAGACATGTAACTTTCCATTAATAAGTAAATAACTACAAGACAGTATGTGTTTTAAACCTTGTCTTGGGTGGTTGATATTCAGGGGGAAAACTTACAGACAAAATAGACTTTAAATAGACAGAGTTTGGGAACCAAAAACAATATTTAAATAGGAAGGTGGGATTTGGAAAATGGAGATGGGAACTGAATTATATTTGGCCTTATTAATAGAAGTTAATAGGAGTTAAAGTTGCATTATGACCTTATAGAGCACAATGTTATGTAGCCTTTTCAGTAATGACCTTGTAAAATGTCACAGTCTCTGTTTGTTATTGCACTGCATTGAAAGGATATTGGATAAATGTAAACTTTTCTTTAAGGTTACTTTGTAAGGTGGATGTTGACAGAAATTAATCATGTAGCTAAGTTTTTGGTTTTCCACTGTCTTATGTTTTTTTTAAAGTTGTTCATCAGTTTCATTAGCCAAATGTTTTAGCAGGAGGCTGTTAGTTACAAATTCTTTAAGAATACTAATTTAATCATTTTTGCATTGATCATTATATTCTGTTTGTTCTCATTGATCAAGGTATTTTATGTGCATAAGGCAATGAACGATTGTTATTCTACTAAAAATCCATTTTTTGAATATCTTGGATAACATGCCTCTGTTTCATATATCATGTATATATGATAGTTAATTACCAAGCTGTTCCAGAAATGGAAAAAATATGTTCTAGAAATTGCTACTAATCTCTACTAATGTTAAGAATAAATTTAAGGATAATGCTTATTATATATATTGCCTAAAAAAGCCGACTGATTAATGGAAAGTGTAACTTGAGCTGGTATCATTAAGCATCAGTGAAAATGATTTGAGACATTTGATAAAAGCATAACAGGTAGACTTTTGTTAGAAATATATTGAAATTGTGTATGTGTATGTGTCTACATATACACTCCCCAACCCCCACATGATATACACATATTGTGTGTGTGTGTGCATGTATGTGTATCTATGGATGTGTGTATACAGTATATGTCATATATATCGGTATATATCAGATAACATATCTTCTCAATTGTTTGGAACAAATGATCAGGATATAACTAGCTCATTTGTGGAAGTTAATTTCTTGATAAATTTAGTAGATTAGACCTAGCCATAATTCTACTTAAAATAAACATATTAAAGTTAATGTCATTTAATATGTTTCTCACACATTAAATATGTAAAGTAAGCTAATGTTACATTTGAATAAAGCTTAATTCCTGGTGAGTGACATAGAATCACCCATGTTGTTTTCTTGACAGGATCAACTGTAGATCTTGATGTAGTTTTATTAGAACAGGAAAATCAGAAACTGCTAATATTAAATTAAAGTGACCAGTTTGCCTGGTATTCTCTCTGTTTGGGTCAACAGTGCAATCCAAATTAGTTCCTCTGTAACACCATTTCTAACTTTTTACATTGTAATCCAAAGATCAAGCTTTATGCAAAGATTTAAAGATATAAGATTGACATTAGTTCTGCTTCACCTCGCTAGTGAAGGATAATACTAGCATTCTAAAAAAAATGTTTGTTTTATGGATGAATAAGTTACTAATTGATATATAATTTACCTGACATAAATTCTAGAACAATATTATTGCCTTTTTTCCTATTACGGGCTGCCACTTGCTCCTTTTCACTTACTGTGCCAGAAAGTGGAAGAGTATTCAGGCTTACGACAAGTGACTTTCAAAACAAACAAGCCTAAATTGCAGCCTTTTTGGCTTTGCCTGTTTCTGCAACAATAAATCTCTTTTAGTTTACCTGTTTGGTGTCCGGCTTTTGAAACTTTTGACACCATTTCAAATAAGGGTCAAGTCTGTCTGTCCAGATCCAAGATGATGACATTGATTAGGATTCAGGAATTTGCTTTTTCCTTCCAAATATCCTATGGACCCAAATTGCACAGCTCATCTTGAGAGAGAGAGATGGAAGTTCTGGAGTTAATGCAGGGATCTTCACCCCACAAAGACCAAACAAAGCACCGCTCTTCTTTGCGTAGATAGAGTGCTGTCTCTGATTTACGTGAAAGCCACAAGAGGGCACAGATGTGAACAAGGCTGACTCTGAAGTTGCAAATGGATGTTAATCACAAGAGCGATATGCTTGCTGTGATGCAGTCACTGACTTGGGACTTTGGAGTCTCTAAAGGTGATTGATGGGAAGAGAAGGATAAATAAGTATCAGAGTCATCTGGGTTTCAAACTGCAGATGGCTCTCTTGATCTTCTGATAGGTCACACTTGAATTTTTCTTTTTGTTCTCCCTTTCACATGCCCCATGATGCCTGTGAGTGGCAGACAGATAACAATGCCTAAGTGGGAAGTTAATTTATACCTGGGGAATTGAGTTTGAAGCAAACTCCGGATTTGAATCCCCAGGAGTGAAAATGTAACTGGATGAGTACCTGGGTTACCAGTTTGAAATGAGAATATGAATGATGAAGTGGCCCTTGTTCGTGAGTTTAACACAGTGTTGGCAACTTAGTGGTGCAGTTACTGGTTTCCGCCTTTGTGTTCAAACAAAACTTTTTAGTTACAGATCACGAAAGTGTGAGATAGAAGTCACACAATTTTTAAATTGCACTTTGAGAATTTGTCTCAAAATATATGTAGAATAACTTTTTTTCTTGTTCAGTTATAAATAAATCCGCTACTAATTCCAGTTGAGAATGTTTAAACAATTATGTCTTGTTTATTTGTGTAGTTATTGTAAGCGTCTTACATAGCCCTAGGTATACCTATTTGTGCTCCGTGAAATTGACTGGAATTCCATGTGCTTCCTTGCTGATTTATACCATTCTAATAATGTCTCTGTATTCTTTTTATAAATGTAATTTTATTAATGATTTTTTTAAAAAAAAGATGAAAATGAAATAATATGTAGTTACTAATTCATTACTAATATAGGTGATACAACTAATTTAAAGTGAGAGAAAGAAAATTAAAAAGAAAGAAAGCTAAAAGTGCATTACCGGGGAAGAAAAAAGAAAAATAAGAAAGAAAAAATACGAAGTAGTAGTTTTTAATCTTTTTACAGCAGTTATAAGTGTTATACATATGTAGCTATTGTCTCTTCTCTAACCAAGTTAATTTAGCAATTTCAACAAGTTGCTTTGCCTTGGTTTGTCCCATGATTTTATTTTATATTCCCCTTGTCAAAATTCTAGTATTTAACAATAAGTTAGCCATTTGGGTTTACATATTATTCCTCATCTATAAAAAGTTTCTTGCACTTAGAATTACAAAGACAACTTTGGGACAGCCTGGAATTGTGTCTATTTTATATTCTTAGTATGGCACATCTAACATGTGGATTTTTAAATTCCACATTAACCTTGATTTTATCATGCTACAAATATCCATGCTGCCCAAATCTCAGGTCATCGCCTTCTAATGCCAAAGCCTTCTGTTTCTCAGTAACACCCACTCGTTCCACCAAACCAAACTGCAAGCTGCAAAATATAATTTCAAGCCAGGTAAATTCAATCGTCCTGTTTCCTTTGCATCTTGTAGCATCTTATGTTTAATCTGTGTTTTTTTTTCCCCCAGCCACACAAATTTAGGTATCTCCTTCTGCCACTGTTTAAATGCTGTCAAAAACAGCTATTGTCTGAAAAAAAAAAAAGAAATTGTTCTAGGCAAAACATCATTTTTATCACAGAAATTCTGCTCGGCAATGACAATTGTCGTTTATCCCATCTTAACATATCTTTTTTTAACTTCATTCCATGTCTTAATATAGTTACTTTGAAATAGCATAAAGTTCACATTTGTCATAGGGATATCCATATACTTTATCTTCTTCTCAAGTCTTAAGACCTGCTTTATTCATCAATTCTGTTTGATCTTCCATCTGCATATTTTTGTGTTAACATCTTCATCTTCTATTTATTAGTCATCCAGCCTGCCAATGCACCAAATTCCTTTAATTTGTCCATTAATATTTAAAGTTCCCTTTAAAGGAACTTCCAAAACCAACACCAAATCATTTGCAAAAGCCCTTAACTTGTCTCTTTTAAAAATCTTTACCTCCACAATCTTCTCATCTTTGTCTTATATCTCTAATCAATAAATAAGATTGGGGACACTGGGCATCCCGGCCTTGTTCCTTTTCGTATCACATACCTTTTTGTTAGATATCTGTTAAAAATCATTTCTGTTTTCTGTGAAATATAAATTGATCTTATGCATTTTATAACATTTAAAATTCAAATAATACCTCTGTACTTTTGTTCTTTCAGCCCTATTGATGGGCAGTTAATTGGAAGCAAGGCCCAGTGATTTTCAGTTTATCTTGCTGCCAAGAAATTTTATTTTATTTAAGATGTAAATCTCTAAGAGTAAGTAGTTGTGTTAAAAAAATGCAATATAACAAAACCGATCTCTAAATGTTGATACCTATTCTTGCCGAGCTTCTCACACATAGTTTTTTTTTTTCTATTAGTAGGGTATGGATTACAAATTGACTTTAAGAATGATAGATGTGGTTTGACTGCAGCTGGGGTATTGTGGAAGAGGTTTGCTGTGTGGGCCTCCCAGGAATTGCTTGAATGTTGTCTCTTTTGTGCAAAGTTTTTGTTTGAAAAGCTGCTGGGCAAACACTAGTAGCTTGATCGCACCTGCTTCTGTTGTAGGGGGATGTGAGTCTATTTGGACTGATGGCGCATCAGTTGCCATTTCATTCAACTTCACACAAAAGAAGTCCATAAGGAGGAACATTCTACTGACGCCCAGCCGAACTCATGCTTGCAGCCATAGTGACGCTTGTAAACGCTGATTTCCTATTTTGTTCAACAGGCAGTTGGAAAACAGCCACCGGAGAAGTTTTTTCCTTTTATCAGTGCATCATCACAAAATGTGCTACAGATTCATTAAGTGTTTCCTGGAAGTGTTTCAGGACACCTTTTTAATTTCTTTGATAAGGATGGCAGTTCTAAAAATGTGCAGAACCAGTTTTAGCTTCCGAATATTCAGCTCGCTAAGCGGCAAAGCAGTGGTAGCCTCTACCTTTTAGCCCAACGTATTGCTTTTCTTCTCATGAAATAAACTAGGGATGCATAAACTGAATTTTAGGGGCCACATGTTGTCATGAAAACCTTGTGTTTGCCTCCCTTCCAGACCTTCAAAATTGATTGCCAAATATCCATGTTGAATGTAACAGAAATTAAACGATTAGATATAATTTAGAGAGTTATTGCATCAGCTAAATTTACTTTTAGTTAACTAGTAATGAAATGAAAAGAAACTCGGTTTTTGCTGTAGCCTAAAACTGGGGGAATGGGGGTCCTATTATACCACCCTATGCCAGCCTGCTGATAGGCTACCTTACTATTATGAGAGTCACTCCCTTTTTTATTTTACAGGGTCGTTCTTGACTTACAAACACAATTGAGCTCAAAATTGCAAGCAAGACAGTTGTTAAGTTAGATTCCCCCCTCCCCCATTTTGCAACCTTTCTCAGCCATGGTTGTTAAGGAAGTCACTGCAGGTATTCAGCTAGTAACCTAGTTGTTAACTGAACCTGGCTTCCCCATTGACTTTGCTTGTCCGAAGGTCACAAAAGGGGATCACTTCACACGGCAACCGTCATAAATCCGTACCCGTTGCCAAGCATCCAAATTTTGATCATGTGACTATGGGGCTGCTGCAACGGTCATAACATTTTTTTTAGTGCCATTGTAACTTCAAACAGTCATTAAATGAATGTTAGTGACCTGCATTTATTTATTTATTTATTTATTTATTTATTTGTTTGTTTATTTATTTATTTATCAAACTTGTATGATGCCCATCTCGATAAAAGAGACTCGAGGCAGCTTACAGACATGGAATAAAATGGAGTATAGAACATAACATCAGTGATTTTTTTTTTTTAAAAAAAAAGTCAATTAAAATAAGATTTGAAGGATAGAGAAGGAGGGAGCAAAGTGCATCCAGAGAGGAGGTGGGGTGTTCTCTCCCCCATCATCCACCTCCAATATGCCACGCCGCCGTCAGGGCCCCAGGCGTTACATTTATTTCTGTATTGAAGGATCCAGCTTTCCAGCCCAAAGGTTGTTTACCGCACAGCATTACAGGAGTTGCTATTGGCAGTATCTGCAATGGTGTCATTATCTCTACTTTTCCAGACTTGGATGGACAACTGTGGAGGCCCAGGCTATCCAATTAGCAAGATAAGAAATAAGGACATGCAAAGAGCAGAGGCTTTTTCTCCATATAAAAAGCAGAGGGTTTTTGTGCGTAGAGACCCGTGGTGCACTGAAAATTGTCAGCATGAATCACGACTGTTGTTCTTGAGGGGTTAGAGTACCTTATCTTGAGAAGGCTACTGTCTGTGAAAGAAAAGCTGCTCCTTCAGGAACTGGCTTCTCTAATCCACGAGAGAGGGCAAGAAGAGAGACAGAGAGAGAAAAAAAACCTCCAACAACACAACTAATAAATAAATGCATCCAGTGCACTTGAGATCTGTCTACTCTGGGTTAGTCCATTCGAATCACCTTCTGTTATTTCTGCAGAATTAATTTGGGTAGGATCCAGACTGGATGGGAATATGATCTTAGCTACCTCCTCTGTTTAATATGCTCCTTGTTAAAAAAATTAAAATTCAATAGTGACAGAGATGTGGAGGGAAAGGGGGGAGGGCAGGATGAGCGATTTGGGGATTTACAATTATTGAAGAGATGCCTCAGTCTTAACAAGAAACCCTGCATTTTTCAACACCTTGTTGGTCTCCAAGGTCTCCATTAAACAGAATAAGGATTGCTGCTTCTCAGAAGTTGTCAGATGCAGGGCATATAACCTGAATGCACAATTGAGGCATTAAGGACACTGGTCTACCTTTGTGATAACCTTGTTTATACATTTAGAGAACATATCGACTATCGTAGACATTATTTCTGCTGCAGAATTCAAGCTCTGCCTACAAACATTTTGTAAGAAATCCACCGGAGGAAGTAGGAAAAGAAACTCTAGATTCTAAAATGTCTAATTCAGTCAAAGGGATACTGTGCTCAAATGAACTGTGGCAAATTTAATGAGCAGTTGAGGACAAAGACACATGTACAGTGATGGACACTCCAGGGAGAGAGATTATGTGTACAGGGACTAATTAGCATGAAATATGAATATGTTGGTATACGTAGCCTTGATCTATGGGCCATCTATATTATGGAGTATGATTTTTTGCACAGGTTTAATGAAAAGAAATCCAGAATTTAGATCGTTTTGAACATTTTAGTCATGCACTTCTAACTTTCATACTGTAGAAAACCAAGTTGTGGGCAAAGCTACGTTAAGAGATACTCTATATCAAAGATCAAATCTAAAGAATTATTTTTACATTGCAGTCTATTTGTCCATATTTGAGTAATTTCAACTAAGGGACATTAGAATCGGATTTGTATCCCCATTGACATGTGCTCTGCAATACTTAATGATCCATAAAGGGGAATATTTGTAGCTCAGAATTGAAATGAGGAGTCCTTGGTGCTCTCTAGCTTGGTTGTTTTCTTGCAGACATCTCATTACCCAAACTAGGTAGCATCATTAGTGCTAGGGTTACCTAGCTGAAGTAATGAAACTTCTGCAAGAAAACAACCAAGTTCAGAGAGCGCTGATGGCCCCTGACACATAATTATTTTAGCAAATATAGTATGACTAGGCCAGGGGTAGGAAACCTTGGCTCTGTTATGACTCGTGGACTTCAACTCCCATTATTCCTGAGTCAGCATGGGGGAACTATGGCCCCTTCATGACTTGCAGACTTCAACTTCCAGAATTCCTGAGCCAGCATGGCTCAGCTTGGAAACCTTGGCTGGCTCAGGAATTCTGGGAGTTGAAGTCCACGAATCATAAAAGAGCCAAGGTTGCCTACCCCTGGACTAGGCTATATATTTATTTACTTTTCTCTGTTCTTTCATTTTGATAAAGGTAATGGTAGACCACATCATTGGACCATTAGAAAAAAGAAGTTGGTATAAGTCAAATAACTAGAATGGGGTAGTTTTTTAATTAGGCTGGAATAAAATGTATCTTTTTTTAAAAAGAAAAAGACTAGGTTTTATTTTCTTGAGCTAATTATGATAAAGATTATGTCAATAGGATGTAGGTCTTTTTTTTTTATTACAGAGTGCTGCTTTGTGATTTTCAAACCCAGGAAAGGAAAGTGATTAACAAGGAACATTTAATTGGATAATGCACAAATTAGGAAAGGGGAAAAAAAATGTCACCGGTAAGAGGAAGAAGCAGCTATTTTCAATTATGAGAAAAATCCTGATGTGATTTGCTTGAAATGTATTGTTGGTCAGAGATAGTGTGGCATACAAGATATAAATTAATGCAGTGAACATTAAGAGAAACCCATCACTGGTCATAAAAGAAGAAGAAGGAAAAAATGTTTAGATTTTGCCACATGTACCCGGTCTCTAAAAGTTTAATAAACCATGTTTTCCTTGAAGTGTGCTAGCACAGGCTGCTTGAACATCTGTGCTACATCTCTGTCTTTGTTCAAATGGTAAAGGAAAACAAAAGTTACAATTAAGTGAAACTTTCATTACACCCAAACCGAGGAGTATGGTTAATTACTTCTGAACATAAGCCAGACTTTACAAGCTATCTTTAAAACTTAATATAAAATTGGCTTCAGATCTTGGATTGTTTTATTTTTTATTTTTTTAATTAGGAAGCTGTGCATAATTTCTTGAGGCTAGGGAGAAAGATAGCAGGGAAGGTTACGGGGTCCATCAGCTAGCTGCAAATGGCCATCGTGGATTAAGCTGGGATTAATGTGTTATTATGTCGTGCAAAAGGCTTAAGATTGTTTAGATTCTAAACAGGGCAATGAAATAAAATATCGGACTCGGATGCATTTATAATATTGAAAATTCTGCAGAAAGCTGATAAACCAGTTGAAACTGATGGCTTATATACATATTTGGTAATTGCCTGTATGATGGTCTTTTCTCGCAGTTTCCTGCCTCAATGTTGAGCAGTAATAGAAGCTTCTGGAAATTCATAATGTTCCTCATCTGCACACCTTTATCTTCCTATTATACCTGCCTATTAAGAGAGCAATTTTGAAATCCCTGGCCAAAACTATCTGCAAAGCTGAATAAAAGAAGCTGGCACGGAGTGAAAAGTGTGTTGATTAGACCATTTGAGATAATACAAAGCCATTTGTTTCTTATAAAAAGACCTTCAGAGAGTGCAGTAAATGATGAAACATGTGATTCACAAATGATGTGAAATCCTGCACATAAAACATGCGTCGCAACCGTACACACCTTTTGTGAGCAGTTGACAGTTTATTTCTTCATCCTTAAAGCCAAACTGATTTTGAGCGTCATTAGCAAAGAATGAGAGCTTGATGAATCATCTAGCAATCTATGGGTTCCCATATTGCTTAATGTATGCAGTATAGGAAGCTACCGCTTTGAATTCTGTATTGGGTTCAACAGTCACAATATTGCTTCCGCATCGGTGTGAAACACCGTGGCAGTTCACCAGTAGGACCAATCTCTGGCATTTTTTCCTTTTGTCTCATAAAGGAAGTGTATTCAAAGAGGCATACATTTGTGGTGCCGTTTAGCTGTAAAATATGGGGCCATTGTCAGCCCTTCATTTTTGTAAGATGAAAAAGAGAAATCACCCATAGTGGGTGGACAGGCAATTAACCCACGGTGATTATCAACAAAAGAAACAGAAGTGACCCACGGGATAGATGGGAGAGAGGAGCAAAGTGCTGTCCCATCTGTAGGCGTATCACAAAATTGTGACTATTGGCCAAGTGGAGATCAGATCTGGAAGAAACTAGTTTTTGAAGGATAAGTTAAATATCCTAGGATCTAACGATGGAGTCAAATGCAACCTGTTAATTCTTTTTAAAGGGATTTATTTATTAATACTATAAGATACAAAAATGCAAAATAAAATAGTAGGAAAGATAGGGGGAGGGAAAAGAGAAAGGAAAAGTGTAGGAAAAAGGGGAAAAAGAAACAAAAAGCATTGACTTCCGACTCCCGTTGGTGCAGCAGAATAAGATGATAGCATCAAACCTCAGCTTTTTAACTTTTACATAATAGTATAAACTTGCCATTTCTATAACAACAAACCTATCCAATCGGTACAAATGCAACCTGTTAAAGTTGATCACTGTTAAATCAGGAGCAAGGACAGCATTCAAAAGCACTACGAGTTTATTTATGCTATCCATTTATAAGAATCTGAACTACCAGTGACCAAGGCAAATTGGCGCCAGATAAAAGTCAATGGACTTCAAGGGGGGGAGGGGCTGGACTTAGGTCGGTTATGGGGGCACAAAGACACCAAACTGATGATGCATTTAACCCTGCCCTCGGTCTCAGCCGGGTCATTCCTACAATTAATAATATATCAGCAGACCCGAATAAAAATAAATGTTTTTCCATACCAGGCAACAAAGCAGCCGATCCTGCCATGTATTTCCAGAAATACAGCATAAATCTTTCCAGGCTTCCTTAAGTGTTCACACACCAGCCTTCTTACTTCATCCTCCATGATGTTTTTTTTTTTTCCTCTCAAGATTTAGCTGAAGGTCATGTCT